GTTGCTGTACTCCACCTCGTGGGAGCACACCTCGAAGTAGTCCAGGCTCACTGTGACTAGGCCCGCGGGCACCAGTGTGGCTACCACGTTCAGCACCATCACACACTTCACCGTGAAACTCAGCTCGCAGAATTTGGGGGGGGCGTTCATATCATCAACTTGCACTTTCTGTAATTCTGCGAGAGTTGCGGTTAAGAAAGGGAAGTAGCGACATCTTCCGAAAGCAACTGGCCAAACACAGCTCCTACAATTATATAACATGTTTCAGGGGCCCTCCAAACCACGTCAGTGCATGTCAAAGACCAATCAATGAACGCCCAGGTGCTAGCAGGTATCAGTAAAGTGCCTGGACATGTTTGGTTCAGCCAGCATTTTCTCTGATTTGTTCCTTTTTGTGTGTGCAACAGTTGCCCTCAACACATCGCATGGAGCACGAAACGCCGTTCAGCATTGACTTGTTCAGTGATTCGCACTGGGCTGGATGCCTTGAGACCCGGCGATCTACCGACTCTCATGTCGCAGTGGTTGGGGGAGCCGTGGCGCTTTGGAGGGCGATCGCCCGTACAAGCTTCCCCGTGAAGGAGGCTCTTGACATTGTAACGGTGAAAGGTTGCAAAGGTGGGAAGCAATGAACACAAGTCTAGGGAATGATTAGCAGATTAGCAGTACAAGTGCTGGCAGGCATTGTCACGCCCAAGCAGCGGCCGCCGGAAAATGTCTTGCAGCTGCCTGGGGCAGCCTCAGAGGCCGCACAACTTGCGGCATCACGAAACGGCCTGGAGTCGGAATATCCAAATCCACATGCACCAACCACACGTTCAAAATGATGACAAAGCACATGCTGTCGAACTGCCCAAGACATGTGCTATGCGCCGCACTCCCCCCATCCCCTTCTGCTGTCAAGCGGCCGACCAAGGCGTAGACTTGCAGGCAAGCGAAGAAGAAGGTAGCCCAGAACTCCGTGCGGTGGAAGAGCAGCTTGTGATCGCGCCCTCGCTGAAAGGTGGTCTCTCGCAAATCAAATCGCGGGGAGGGCAGATCTGCTAGTCGGTTGATTCTCTACATGTTGCAAGTAGGGAACAAATTCGTATATAACCTATGGCTTTTGGAAGGCTTACTTGCCCTCACTCACTCACTCACTCACTCACTCACTCACTCACTCACGCACTCACTCACTCACTCACTCACTCACTCACTCACTCACTCACTCACAGCCTCGCTCGCTCGCTCAGTCACTCACGCACTGACTCACTCACTCTCTCACTCACTATCGCATGCACGCGCGCACGCACGCACGCACTCACTCACTCACTCACTGACTCACTGACTCACTGACTCACTGACTCACTGACTCACTGACTCACTGACTCACTGACTCACTCACTCACTCACTCACTCACTCACTCACTCACTCACTCACTCACTCACTCACTCACTCACTCACTCACTCACTCACTCACTCACTCACTCACTCACTCACCCACCAACTCACTCAACTCAACTCAACTCAACTCAACTCCACTCCACTCCACTCCACTCCGCTCACTCACTCACACTCACTTACTCACACTCACTCACTCACACTCACTTACTCACACTCACTCACTCACTCACTCACGCACGCACGCACGCACTCACTCACTCACGCACGCACGCACTCACTCTTGCGATTCACGCACAGGCGCGACGAATTCAGCGCTTCAAGACTCATTGAAAAGTCACGTTTTGTCGGAATTTCAATGGCACGTCCATGTGCTCCACCCAGCCTCCGCGAACGCGAACACATGCTGCCCCCCAGACCCCTACTTCAAACGAAAAACCCTTGGGCTACGCATTCGGGAAAACACTTTGGTGGAAACCCACGCATCGGGGTGGGGCTTCCCCTTCTTGAATGCCAGGCTTTTGATCTAGGGGTTGCAGGTACATAGACCAGCTGAAGGGAAGCGGGTATCATCCGTGGCGTTTGCTCGTTTAGAGTGCGCATTGCAGTGAATTCTCGGCAGCTTGGCTTTGCCCAGCTTAGTGCCCTTGCAGCCTGAAGTTGGGATTGAGCGATCCAAATGGGCCTCAAACACACGTCGGACGGGCCTCACCAGACGAGTGAGTCTCAATGGCCCAATGCGACAGGCTCTGCGCCATGCCTTCTGCGTTGGTTTCTCTGAGGCCCGATCCCCTGTGGGAATCCGGCACCCGGCGCCGGGCGCCCCACGAAAGTCGGCATCCATGGAATTCATCACGAGTGTGCAAATGTTGATGCCAACCTCGGCCACGCGGGTCAGCTCGCAACCATCCTACACATGGCACCGTGTCCAGGTGTTTGGTGGTTTTAATTGCAACGCCTTTGCCTTTTTTGGCGTTTGTGAGAAAGGAGACAGGAGCCGTTTAGAGGGTCCGTAGAAAATTGGGTCTCATTGCATGTCAATCTATGGCCCATGCTCCTGTTGGTAACATGCAACGCATGAGGGCAACCCTGAAGGTCCGAGCGCGTGAGCGGCTGCATACAAGGCATTGAGTGGTTCGCGAGCCTGAATGTGGTTGGCGTACTGCTCAGACTGAGAAGCGCAAGCAAGCAAGCAAGCAAGCAAGCAAGCGAGCAAGCAAGCAAGCAAGCAAGCAAGCAAGCAAGCAAGCAAGCAAGCAAGCAAGCAAGCAAGCACGCAACCGAGCAACCAAGAAACCAAGCAGCCAAGCAACCAAGCAGCCAAGCAGCCAAGCACCCAACCCGCAAACCAAACAACCAACCACCAACCAGCCAACCACCCACCCACCCAACCAACCAACCAACCAACCAACCAACCAACCAAGCAACCAAGCAACCAAGCAACCAAGCAACCCACCAACCAACCAACCAGCCAGCCAGCCAGCCAGCCAACCAACCAACCTACAAGCAAGCAAGCAAGCAAGCAGGCAGGCAAGCAACCAAGCAAGCAAGCAACCAACCAACCAACCAAAAACCAACCAAAAACCAACCAGCCAGCCAGCCAGCCAACCAGCCGGCCAGCCAGCCAGCCAGCAAAACAACAAATCAAACAGCCAAGCAACAAAAATTACAGCAGCATAGACCCCAGATAGCACACTACAGCCACGAACCATGGCGCAGCATCATAATGGTTCCAGCAGCATCTTGCTCATGTTGACAACATCTTGATGATGTTGACAGCATCATGAGGATACCACTTCTACTCAGCATAGTGCGCTAGATAGACGCGCAGACAACGTGCTAGTGAGCTCAGCGTTGAAAGGATGATGCTGATACAACAACGAACGATTCCACGCTACATATCTAGCAGAAAAAAGGCAGAGACGAAGTCCTGATGAGTTCGACAGCATCATGATGATGCGGACAGCAGCATGATGATGCTCACAGCATCATGGTGATGGTAAAGGCAGCAGATACCACAGCCACGCGACAGTGTAATGAAATTCAGCATCATCCTGATGTTGACAGCATTCTTCCGCCACCACACCCACGAACCACAATGCAGCATCGCAGCAATTGCAGCAGCATACGTGGTTGACAACATCATGATGACACACCAGCCACGAACCGTTACACGCGACAGTTCGAGCAAGCAACAACGTCCGAATCGGTGCGGCCAGCATCACGATGCTGCGGCCAGCATCATGATGCTGCGACAACCACGATACCCCAAACAGCGCCCGCCCTAGCACCCTGCCATCCATATGCGCCCGCGCCGTCACCAACACCCCAAAACAGCAGCCCCCACAGCACCCCGACGCAGCACACGTGCCAGCACCGGACACGTCCCCAAGCACCCTGCCGTCACGTACTGTCACCAGCACCTCAACCGAACAGCACCCCAAAACCGCACCTGCGCCAGTACCCCAAAGTGCATGCCCCCCAGCTCCCAGCAGTCGATCTTGTAAAACAATTCCCCTTCTTCAGTAGAAGTTAGCACCCCTATGGTTCCCAGTTATCTGGGAAATAAGCGCCCACGGTCAGCAGCACCCCCAACAGCAACCCAAAACAGCACCTTGCGCCACCGCCCCAAAACTGCATGCCCCCTAGCACCCGCCGGCAATGTCCGAAAATTGCGCCCACAACGTCAGCAGCACCTCAAACAGCACCCGAAACAGTACAGTACCCCAAAACAGCTGCATCAGCACCCCAAACTGCATGCGGCCATCAATCTTGCAAGAATGCGCCTGCGCCATCACCAGCACCTCGAACAGCACCCCGAACTGCATGCCCCCTAGCACCCGGCCAGCAAGCTCGCGAAACAGCACCTCCACTAGCACCCCAAATTACATGCGCCCTAGCACCCGGCCGTCAATCTTGCAAAGCGGCACCTCCACCAGCACCCGAAACTACATGACCCTAGCACTTGGCCGTCAATCTCGCAAAATAGCACCTCCACCAACACCCCAAACTGCATGCCCCCTAGCACCCGGCCGTCAATCTCGAAAACCAGCACCTCCACCAGTGCCGCAAACTGCATGCCCCTAGCACCCGGCCGTCAATCTCGCAAAGCGGCACCTCCACCAGCACTCCAAACTGCATGCCCCCTAGCACCCTGCCGTCAAGCTCGCAAAACAGCACCTCCACCAGCACCCCAAACTGCCCAGCACCCGGCCGTCAATCTCGAAAATCACTTTCCCTTCTTCATTAGAAGTTAGAACCCCTATAGCTTTCAGCTATCTGGGGAAAAAACTTCAAGCAACGTCCAAAGAAATCCCTGGCCGGGCGAAAGCCAGCTCAAGGGCTGTCCAAGGGGCATACACCAAGCTGCAAATCGCCAGGTGCAAGTTGGTGCGCGCCATGCCCCGCAGCCGGCCGAGCCGCTCCTGCAGGAGCACGCCATCCAACCTGCCGTCGGTTTCTTGCCGTGGGCTCCAAGGTGTCTCGCTTTGCCTTGGAAACCTTCAAAGCGGTTTTCGGTTGGTCTCCACTCAAAACATCCCCTCAAAAGGGTTCCACAAATGATGACACATCCCACAAATGAAGTCGGGACCCCTATTGAGTGCTAGTGTTAACAGTTCCCTCCGACAATGAGTCGTGATCGGGTCCAATCATAGGAAACACTCAAGGATTGGAGAACCATAGCCGAATACAAGAAGGGCTTTCAACTTGCTCCCCACTTGCAACATTTAGGAAGTCAACCGGCAGGCCCATACGGGAAGCTGATTACCAGCATGTGCTTGGCGTGCCCTTGGATGGTTGTAACAAACTGGTAGCCCCGTTTGGGGGATGAAAACCGTTTCAAGGCGGAAAACTTTGTCACCGAAACTGGTCCTAATAGGGCCCCTGCCTGTTGGGCCCGAAGTTTGGCGCGTGCTGCTCCGGCCCCAAGGTCGACAGCTGAACACTGAGAACCACAACACTTGCTCAAGGCCAAACACAAAATACATGAATTGAGCAATTGTTACCAACAACACCTGGAGGTGACACACGAGGCAGTCCAAGGGCATGAGATGGGCCCTCAGCCTCCATGCAACCACAAGCCTCTAGTTGAACCCGTCCAAGTCTTGAAACTCTTTAAGGATGGGAGCGCCATACTTGCATGGCGCCAGCTGGCAGGCCTGCAGTCCGAGGTGATGTTGCAGTACATGACAGTGAGGGCATCCGTGTGCCTCAAGTCCGACGCTAAAGACTCCGAACAAGCCTAGGGAGGGGCCTCTTTGTGGGGGAGTGCGTTTTCAGCTCATTGCTCATGGCCCGATCCTCGAGTCACAGCTACGGCCGCCGTGCGCAGCAGACCCTTCCAACACGAAAATGGCCCTCCAAACCAGGGTGAATCAAGCCGTAAACGTTTGGCTTCACGCCATGACTTTGCTCCATTAACTTAAAGAATCCTCAAGATATTGACCAGTCACAACCATGCCCCATCCAAAACCAGCTGGACAAAGTAACAATGCCCTGAAGCAAACGGAACATTGTCTGTTTTGCGCGTTCCGGAGGGTAGTTCCTGGCGGACATGTCCAACTTCCCTGCAGGGAAGGAATGCCCTAAATGCGATTGACAACCAAAGAGCCAAGCTTATAGGAAGAAGGCAACTCACGCAGCGTGTGTTTCTCTAATTGAGACCCTTCAACCGGCGGGCATCTTTGGCGACCAATTGACAAACATGTGACCATGAAAGACATGGTTCATGACAAATGGGTTTGTGGGTCTTCTAAAAGCAACAAGCACAGCTAGCTAGAAGCCATTGGCAACCTCATTCATCCCAGTCCCCTGCGCACCACTGCCGGCTGAATCAGGATACAACTGGTATGGTGATATCGGCTCGTCGTCATGCGCCATGGCTCTTGCTGAAATGTACGCGTGTGAAAGACGATGGAACAAGTCCAAGCACATGGTGTATCTATCTGGAATGGACGTTCGCTCAGTTCATGGTGGGCTTACGCTACTTTGGCGCAACAATTGCCAGGACTTGACTGAACAATCCTGGATCTATCCCCTTAATTTCAAGAATTGCCAACCCTGTGGCCTGCAATGATGAACTCAAGTACTCCTTGTTGTGCCAATTCTGGGTATGGCTGAATCAGAGGCAAGCAATGCAATTTGAGCCACGTGCGACGTATCACGGCGGACATCGCGAAATCACAAGAAACGATCCAGCTGGCACTTCCCCAACGATTTCCAAGCTGCTTTATTCTCCTGCCAGCAGAGCTGGTGCTGCAAACAATCTCTCCAGGCCTTGGAAAGCTCTTGATTTTAGAACTGGCCTGACACACAGGACCTTTGCAGCCAAAATTGCTAAGTTGCCTGTAGCGATTTCACTGTCCAAAAAGTGCCCTGAATATTGGCTGATACCTGATGTTTGCTTGGCGCCGCTCCATGGTGTTCCAACCCAACATGGCAATGGGCAATGCTGGGGCTACACAAGCTCGGCTAAAGTGGTTGCCGGAAAGTTGGCGCATCAAGCAGTTCCAAGATTTGACCAAGAGTCACACCCTGAATGCAAACCCGAGTTAAAGCTGTTACCCCCTCTTTATCTTTGGGTCGGCCAGAAGCAGGCCGGGGGGTAAGACGGTGGCACATGTATTGACGATGGCCAAAGGTCAAGGCCCGATCCCCACACCCACTGCTCCTTGCACCGTCTGCCTCTGTGCCTGTGGGCCTTGCAAAGGCATCCGGGACCCTGTGACAGTTGAGGCTAGACCAGCTCCATCCAAATCTGTCGATTTTGTACGACACAACAATGGAACTGCTAAACGAATTCCAGGACCACTCTGCGCCGATTCCATGTTTTATGCGGTTTCATGTTGAATGCCCATGGTTGAAGCCCTTATCCGGCCTCTACAAAGGAAAAGCCCGATTCCGACGCAAGAATCTACTTCTTTGTATCTAAACGGTTCAGTCTTACACCCTGGGACTACACACGGAAACTATACCGCTTTTGCGGGTCGTTTACAAGCGGCAAAGGGAATTTGGACTGTCTTGGATCCTTTCCCAAGGCTGCAATCCTAGGAAGTGCAACAACGCCCGTGCCGGTAGCATCAGCAAAGTTCAGATATGGTCAAGGCTGCAGGCATGGACTGGAGTGCGCCGTCAAGATAGGAACATGGGCCTTCCACACGATACCGATACCATGGTCAAGGGAAACTGGCGTTGCCAGCTCAAATCGTGCCCCATGAAATTATTGGGGCATCAGGATTCTCAGAGATTGCGGGCCATTTTGACCGCAGTGGCCCTTCTACGACATCATCGTACTATCTGTGATCATTCACAAACGTTCACTACCCACAACTGAACCTGCAAACACTAGGCTAGAGCTCTCGTCGAATTTGGACGAAAACCGCAATGCATGGCACTACTTGAAGCTTCGTCCACCGCATGGTTTCAGAAAGTGTTCCGCCGCAAAAGCAAGGAAACTTCGCAGCCAACACGATCCATTCTTCGCCACGCAGAGAAGCAATCCCAAAAGGCAACTCTCTATACGGGTGACATGGCCAAAAGTGATCCGAACCTGCATCTGGAAAGGAAAGGAACATGTCAGTCGAGGCTTCCCCCTTCCTCAAACAAACACGTAAGAAGATAGGATCCTTTTTGTTGTTCATTGTCGTGATTGTTTCATGGAATGTAAGCAGTATACAAATCACAAACTGGAAATATTGCTTTCGAGAAACATTTCTTCCGGCAAGTGACCTCGCTAGTATTTTTTGTACAGAGAACCCGATCAACACGTTCGCAGTGGACAAGGGACAACCAGCGATTTTCCCCCCTGGCCTGAGCTGAATCCGAGGTCTTAGAAGGATTCTCAGGAGATATCCGACAGGGGTCATTGGGTTTTCTCTTCAAATTCTGGTGGCTTCCTTTGAAACTGCCACTTTCGGCGGCTCCCAAAAAAGGAAATAAAGGAAGCCCTGACTGAAAACCTGTCTGCCCCAAGTCCCGCTGGGCCGTCGGCTGGGATGCCGCCTGCCCAAAGGCGAGCCGCATTTGAACATGTCAAAATCTAAATCGTACCCCCAGTGAACATCCCAATCCCTAAAATTGACCCACAGCCATGTGACTCAACGGCCAATGCTCATCTCAACTGAGGGCCGTTGGTGAGCACCAAAGGACAAGACGCAGCTGGGGATCCGCGTTCCTTCCAACTGTCAATTTGATCAACTGTGTTCTGGGTCACAGAGCTGCTTCTTTTTCTTTGGATTCGTACCATCGGAATACAAAGCAACCCTTCGAGGTGGGCGCAGTGGGCGGAGCCCTTTCCTTCAGTGTATGAATCCCGATCTTCAACACATAGCACACCCTGGGGGCCGCCAAAACAACGACAGACCAACAAAGCAAAGCCGATTGGGGCCTTTTGCCCAAGCCCTACAGCATGTTGTACAGCTTCCACTGCTGCACCCTGTTTGTTCTGTCACGCAACAATGAAGGAAGGTCTATTCCCAGCCTTCCGCCCGCCATTTGCCGGTTGCATCCCCTCGCATCCAGGTTCCGCAATTGGGGGAAGACTATTTTAGGATGGGTCTCAAAAGCCAGGAAACTCGCCCTTTTAAAAGCTGTTCACTGTTCCCCCAAGAAACCGAAATCGTGAAGCGACGATATCCTCGGAACCACTGCCTTCGGAATGGCTTCTTCGGCGATGCCGGCCTGGGGTGTTTGTAGAAGAGCCGAACACAGGGCAGATAGTGGCAGCTGCATCCCTCCTTAAAATTATGGCAAGACTTTGGGCATGCCATTCCAGACAAACACAACACACGCAACAAAACTGGGTTGCTCTTTCACCCCTTCAAGAAGTCGAACATTTTCCAAAAAAGTTAAAGGTTATTTTGGTCAACCAGAGGAACAGTCTCTCAGAGTGCGGTCTAGTCTGACCGCCAAGGTCTTCATAGCACACGCCCTGCCTTGCCCAGCGGGTTGGCCAAAGGAGCCTGATTGGCAGAGCCGGTGATTTCCCTGCCAATGGTCTCCGCTACGACTGTAGTATGTCAAGAGGCAGAAACACATATGCATGCCATCCATGTCCGAGGTGAACACTACCCTCTTGCAACTCATCGCATAGTTGCGCATGTGCAATACTGACGAGCAAGATCCTACGCACACCAGGAACAAACAGGCTGGACCCTTGCAGCTTGACAAGTCACATAGGGATTCCTTGAGCAATGCCAAATCTGTCAGAAGCTTCGCACATACGATGTAGACAACATCATTTCCGGAAATTACACAAGCTCGCCTTTGGCTTTGGAGCATCATCCTGTAGAAGTCCACCTGCCTGTCAAGTACGCGCACGTATCACCCGTGACGGCTTGTCAAAACTGCGCTAAATGGTGGCACCAGGGTCCTGAAAAAACGCATGTGGTTGACTACTCCACATATGTCATCAACGCTCCTGGCATTGGTGGCATCCTGCCTAGCTTGCCGCTTGGGCGATGGAAAACTCAATACGCGTGCCGTGTGCCATCTAAAGTATGCATCACTCATGATTCAGCTCACCTTGCCTCTCACCCATGCGACACGCGAAGGCTATGACGCCCGAACGGCTCAAATCTTGCATGCAAGCAGCAGCCACTCTTGCGTGCTCTGATGCGCTCTGGCTCTGACACACTGCAAGGCCGCCTTTGGCTTTGGGGGATCATCCTCGAAGAGTCCGCCTGCCTGGCAGGGATACGTCACATGTGTCATAGATCTCATACATCCCGTGCATGTCACGATCCATAGTTGTAAGATACACTGAAGGCATACGACGAAACTCCCCGTTTACCCAGCCGCAGCCCAACAAATGTTCAGAGAGCGCCGACGCAGCATCAGATCACGTCAGCGAAACATCACAGAGCAACACAAACACAACCGACCACAATTATCAAGCAGCTTCAAACCAAACGATGCGCTATTTCACTGGGCCAGAACACACACACACACAAAAAAAAAACACACACACAGACACACACACACACACACGCACGCACGCACGCACGCACCGGCACACGCACCCGCACACGCACACGCACACGCACACGCACACGCACGCGCACCCGCACACGCACACACGCACACGCACACGCACACGCACGCGCACGCGCACGCGCACGCGCACCGCACGCGCACGCGCACGCGCACGCGCACGCGCACGTGCACGCGCACGCGCAAGCGCACGCGCACGCGCACGCGCACGCGCACGCGCACGCGCACTCGCACACGCACACGCACACGCACATGTGGCACCTGCAAGCAAAGCAACCTAGAGGTCAGTTTGCGGACCCATGTCTCGACATATCATCACAGCACGCTCACTCGCCTTGCCCAGCGGGTTTGCCAAAGCAGCCTGGTCGACCGTTACCCGACACATGTCTTTATCCGTGGGAGATAGCAGGTCCAAATATCAATGCGGCATTGTTCAAACCACAGACAAGCTGCAATTTAGTCCGACATTGAATGTACTACATGTCGAGCTCAGACCACCTTGCATGTTCAGCAATCCCCGAATCTGTACAAATTGCCGAGCATCCGAGCTGATCCGGCAACTCGGCTTTGAGACACAGACTCAAAACTGCTACACGCACTGCCTTACAGGAGAAACGCCCGCCTTTGGCTTTGGGGCATCATCCTCGAAGAGTCCGCCTGCCTGGCAGGTACAGGTCATAAATATATATATATATATACACATATGTCGTAGATGTCATGCATGCCATCCATTTCCTGGTACATGTCATCATGCTTGACTGCATGCTACGTAGTTCCATGTTTCACTATCCGAACAGATCTGCACAACGTGAAGCAGCATCAAATCAGCAAAGCAAAACCATCCCAAAGCAACAATCACAATCGCTCCAGATTGTCAAGCAAACTTCAACTCAGCTCATGCACCATAGTATACCTAAACAAAAACTGGGCGCCTGCAAGCGGCGCAAACTGAGAGTCAGTCCAAAGTCTACGAAATCCCCCATCGTCACCCATATCATCACAGCACGCTCACTCGCCTTGCCCAGCGGGCTTGCCAAAGCAGCCTGGTCGACTGGCAACTGACCCCATGTCTTCATCCGCAACAAATGCTCGTAAGCAGCAGGTCCAGGGCGTGTGTCCAACATCACTGTGGCATCGTTCAGAACAAAATTCAAGTGCCATGTTATTCCGACTTTGAATGTGTTGCAAGTCTTCGGCAATTTCCGAATCTGTACAAATTGCCGAGCATCCGAGCTGATCCGGCAACTCGGCTTTGAGACACGCGCACCGCCTTACACGAGGAAAGCCCGCCTTTGGCTTTGGGGCATCATCCTCGAAGAGTCCGCCTGCCTGGCAGGTACAAATGTCATGCATGCCATGCATTTCCTGGTACATGTCATCATGCTTAACTGCATGCTATGTAGTTCCATGTTTAACTATCCGAACAGATCTGCACAACGTGAAGCAGCATCAAATCAGAAAAGCAAAACCATCCCAAAGCAACAAGCACAATCGCTCCAGATTGTCAAGCAAACTTCAACACTGCCCATGCACTATATACCTAAACAAAAAACGTGGCACCTGCAAGCGACGCAAACTGAGAGTCAGTGTACAAAATCCCCCATCGTCACCCATATCATCACAGCACGCTCGCTCGCCTTGCCCAGCGGGCTTGCCAAAGCAGCCTGGTCGACTGGCAACTGACCCCATGTCTTCATCCGCAACAAATGCTCGTAAGCAGCAGGTCCAGGCCGTGTCTCCAACATCACTGTGGCATCGTTCAGAACCAAAATTCAAGTGCCATATTAGTCCGACATGGAATCTATTGCAAGTAAAAAACTGCTACACGCACTGCCTTACAGGAGAAACGCCCGCCTTTGGCTTTGGGGCATCATCCCCGAAGAGTCCGCCTGCCTGGCAGATACAGGTCATAAATATATATAAATATATATATATATATAATATATATATATATATATTATATGTATATCTACATACATATACATATATATATATATATATATACACATATGTCGTAGATGTCATGCATGCCGTCCATTTCCTGGTGGATGTCATCATGCTTGACGGCATGCTACGTAGTTTCATGTTTACCTATCCGAACAGATCTGCACAACGTGAAGCAGCATCAAATCAGCAAAGCAAAACCATCCCAAAGCAACAAGCACAAATGCTCGAGACTGTCAAGCAAACTTCAACTCAGCTCATGCACCATAATATACCTAAACAAAAACTGGGCGCCTGCAAGCGGCGCAAACTGAGAGTCAGTCACGCTCACTCGCCTTGCCCAGCGGGCTTGCCAAAGCAGCCTGGTCGACTGGCAACTGACCCCATGTCTTCATCCGCAACAAATGCTCGTAAGCAGCAGGTCCAGGCCGTGTGTCCAACATCACTGTGGCATCGTTCAGAACAAAATTCAAGTGCCATGTTATTCCGACTTTGAATGTGTTGCAAGTCCAGCTTCTTCAAAATCACTCACACCAGCATCTTCGGCAATCCCCGAATCTGTACAAATTGCCGAGCATCCAAGCTGATCCGGCAACTCGGCTTTTTGACGCAGACTCAAAACTGCTACGCGCACCGCCTTACACGAGGAAAGCCCGCCTTTGGCTTTGGGGCATCATCCTCGAAGAGTCCGCCTGCCTGGCAGGTACAGGTCATAAATATATATATATATATATACACACACATATGTCGTAGATGTCATGCATGCCATCCATTTCCTGGTACATGTCATCATGCTTGACTGCATGCTACGTAGTTCCATGTTTCACTATCCGAACAGATCTGCACAACGTGAAGCAGCATCAAATCAGCAAAGCAAAACCATCCCAAAGCAACAAGCACAATCGCTCCAGATTGTCAAGCAAACTTCAACACTGCCCATGCACTATATACCTAAACAAAAAACGTGGCACCTGCAAGCGACGCAAACTGCCCATCGTCACCCATATCATCACAGCACGCTCACTCGCCTTGCCCAGCGGGCTTGCCAAAGCAGCCTGGTCGACTGGCAACTGACCCCATGTCTTCATCCGCAACAAATGCTCGTAAGCAGCAGGTCCAGGCCGTGTCTCCAACATCACTGTGGCATCGTTCAGAACCAAAATTCAAGTGCCATATTAGTCCGACATGGAATCTATTGCAAGTAAAAAACTGCTACACGCACTGCCTTACAGGAGAAACGCCCGCCTTTGGCTTTGGGGCATCATCCCCGAAGAGTCCGCCTGCCTGGCAGGTACAGGTCATATATATATATAATATATATATATATATATTATATATATATATACATACATATACATATATATATATACACATATATATATATACATATACATGTATATACATATGTCAAAGATGTCATGCATGCCGTCCATTTCCTGGTGGATGTCATCATGCTTGACGGCATGCTACGTAGTTCCATGTTTACCTATCCGAACAGATCTGCACAACGTGAAGAAGCATCAAATCAGCAAAGCAAAACCACCCCAAAGCAACAAGCACAATCGCTTGAGACTGTCAAGCAAACTTCGACTCAGCTCATGCACCATAATATTCCTAAACAAAAACTGGGCGCCTGCAAGCGGCGCAAACTGAGAGTCAGTCACGCTCACTCGCCTTGCCCAGCGGGCTTGCCAAAGCAGCCTGGTCGACTGGCAACTGACCCCATGTCTTCATCCGCAACAAATGCTCGTAAGCAGCAGGTCCAGGCCGTGTGTCCAACATCACTGTGGCATCGTTCAGAACAAAATTCAAGTGCCATGTTATTCCGACTTTGAATGTGTTGCAAGTCCAGCTTCTTCAAAATCACTCACACCAGCATCTTCGGCAATCCCCGAATCTGTACAAATTGCCGAGCATCCGAGCTGATCCGGCAACTCGGCTTTGAGACACAGACTCAAAACTGCTACGCGCACCGCCTTACACGAGGAAAGCCCGCCTTTGGCTTTGGGGCATCATCCTCGAAGAGTCCGCCTGCCTGGCAGGTACAGGTCATAAATATATATATATATATATCTATAAATATATACATATGTCGTAGATGTCATGCATGCCATCCATTTCCTGGTACATGTCATCATGCTTGACGGCATGCTACGTAGTTCCATGTTTCACTATCCGAACAGATCTGCACAACGTGAAGCAGCGTCAAATCAGCAAAGCAAAACCATCCCAAAGCAACAAGCACAATCGCTCCAGATTGTCAAGCAAACTTCAACACTGCCCATGCACTATATACCTAAACAAAAAACTTGGCACCTGCAAGCGACGCAAACTGAGAGTCAGTGTACAAAATCACCCATCGTCACCCATATCATCACAGCACGCTCACTCGCCTTGCCCAGCGGGCTTGCCAAAGCAGCCTGGTCGACTGGCAACTGACCCCATGTCTTCATCCGCAACAAATGCTCGTAAGTAGCAGGTCCAGGCCGTGTCTCCAACATCACTGGTGGCATCGTTCAGAACAAAATTCGAGTGCCAGCTTCTTCAAAATCACTCAGACCACCTGGCATGTTCGACAATCCCCGAATCTGTACAAATTGCCGAGCATCCGAGCTGATCCGGCAACTCGGCTTTTTGACGCAGACTCAAAACTGCTACGCACACCGCCTTACACGAGGAAAGCCCGCCTTTGGCTTTGGGGCATCATCCTCGAAGAGTCCGCCTGCCTGGCAGGTACAGGTCATAAATATATATATATATATATACACATATGTCGTAGATGGCATGCATGCCATCCATTTCCTGGTACATGTCATCATGCTTGACGGCATGCTACGTAGTTCCATGTTTACATGTCCGAACAGATCTGCACAACGTGAAGCAGCATCGAACCAGCAAAGCAAAGCCATCCTAAAGCAACAAGCACAGTCGCTCAACATTGTCAAGCAAACTTCAATACAGCCCATGCACTTTAATATGCCTACACAACAAAATGGGCACCTGCAAGCGACGCAAACTTACAGTCAGTCTAGCAAGTCACAAAATCCCCCATCGTCACCCCATGTCATCACAGCACGCTCACTCGCCTTGCCCAGCGGGTTTGCCAAAGCAGCCTGGTCGACTGGCAACTGACCCATGTCTTCATCCGTAAGTAGCAGGTCCAGGCCGTTTCCCCAACATCACTGTGGCAGCGTTTAGAACAAAATTCAAGTGCCAGCTTCTTCAAAATCACTCAAACTACCTGACATGTTCGACAATCCCCGTTGGAGCCTAAGAGCTCCCGGGGGTTTAGAGCAAGCCCCCAACCAGTCAGCAAGTTGACTTGCCGCTCTTTTCTCACTCCATGGCATGCTCGGGTGCCCTGAGCTAAAGTACAAAGACCAAATGGCTAAAGGGATCCCTCGGACCAAAACGGCGAGCAGCGTGTGCGAGGTTGTGGCTCTGTAGGCAAAACACAAGAGGCTCACACACACGAGGCTGAGAACTTCACATGCCCCAGAGGCTGTTGCCGAAAGAGACTCATCCTAGCGGCTCACGAGTTCTCGCCAAGAACGGTCCCGAAGTTCCGCTCCATCTTCTTCTCCTTCGCCTCGAAGAAGTACCTGCTTCTTCTTCTTGGCGCTGACGAACTTCTCGTCATGCACCAGATTCCACAGCTGCCCAGCCTGGAGAAACTTCCGCACTCTGTCCTGTGCGCTCAGCTTGGTCAGCCCATCTGCCAACTGGGCGTCGCTGTCACACCATCGCATCTGCGTGCCCTGGCGGCCCATGTTCTCCACCAGTCCAAGTAGCTCGAGCGCGGTGCACTTCTCCCGCACGCTGAAGGCGGATGTCTGGATCTCGCCGTTGCTGGCCGCATCACACAGTGCCTTCGCGTCCACGACCAGCACTCCTTTTGTCTCCTTGGTGCACTCCTCCGGCTTGGCCAGGTCCACGGGGAACCCCACTCATCTCGCTCCACTGAGTCCGGATGAACATCACCTCCTGCTCGGTCTCCGCCAATACTTGGGCCTCAGCGCTGAGGCTTGACCGACAGACTCTCTTGAGTCTGGATGAAGCTCACCGGTCCCGAGCTCCATCCAGCATGCTCGCATGATCCATCGCTCATCACTCTCGTCTCCGGTGATGAGGAAGTCATCCACATGAGCGGAAATCAGCCCGAGCACCCGCTGCTTTCAAACCTCCCGGTTCATGTCCGGCACCCTCAAACTCCACACGCACGGCTCCGTCTTCAATCTGTTCAAGCCCACCTCCGTCAAGATGGCGTCCACTTTCAGGAACCATTCTCTGGGTGCCACTGTGAGTCCGTAGGTCGCCTTGAGGAACTGAACTGCACGCCCCTTCGGGAGATTCATTGCCGTGGCCAGCTCCTCCACCGGTAGTCCGAAAACTTGTCGCTGAAGTTGGGTCTCTCCTCCTTGAAGAAAAGCAGCTCTGGCGTCGGCCATTGGTCACTCGCCAACCTCGGTGCGCAGCCATCTGAAGTAGCAGCTGTCTGCTCCTCCTTGTCATCGTTGGGCTCTTCGTGTTGAGGTAACCGGCATCGGGGTCGGAGTAGCCGAGCACAACTTGACGAGCTTTCACCTTCACTGTTCCATCTTCGGGTCCGTTCTTGAAGGTCAAAACCCATCTCATATTCATCAGCCGCTGTGGCGGGACGTTGCCGATCGCAGCCCGCACCACCTTGTTGCTCAACCACTCGTTGATTTCGGCCCCTTTCGCCTCCTTCATAGCGGCTCTCTGCTCCAGTGAAAGCCTCTGCCAGGACACCTCCACACCTTTTGCGACTCTCTTCGCCATGAACTTCTGAGGGTCCTTGACGATGGCCTTCCACTCCGTCTCATCCTTGGGTTCCGGCCACGTCCCCGGGGTAGTACTTCACCACAGGTCTTGACTGTGAGTTCCGAGCCCGCAAGATCTTGTCCTCCACGGTTGCCTTGCGGTAGCTGGTCTCCGCCTGCATTCTGATCTCCAATGTCCTCCGCATCCGTTCATCTGAACTCACCGAAGACCAGAAAGGTAGACCATGTCCATCATGCAGTCGATCTGCGTCAGTGAAGTTTCGTCCAAAAACCCACTGCTGTGGAGAGTATCCACCTACCCGGGCGAGTCCATTGTGGGCAGTCACCATTGCCCAGGCTGCTTCTCGTGGATCTCCTTCACTAGAGCGCAGATGCTTGATCATCCTTTCTTTCAGCACTCCGATGCCACGCTCTACTTGTCCGATCATGCCGTGGGACTTCGCAGGGATGAAGTCCATCTCCACTCCATGTTGATTTGCCCATTCAGCCAGAAGGGTGCCCCGGTGCGCTCCTTCTTTGTCGAGCTTGATCTTCTCCGGGTACCCAAAGTACTGAATCCATCTGCTCTGGAGAGACTCCAAGATCTCCTCCGAGGTGGCGTTCCGCCCCTCTGTCACCTTGTGCTTGAACAGGTAGACAACCACCGCAGAGGAGCTTGCCTCGTCCATCATCAACTGGAAGTGGAAGACCTCCTCTCCCACGGTGATCATGAGGTTGTCCGTCTGCACCACCTGCCACAACTTGTTGGCTGCCTGTATTGTGGTCGGTCGCTTGGCAGATGGCATGTGAGCTTCTTGGCAATCTTCACAGACCATGTTCTTAGCGATCACCAGCAGCTGTTGAGAAGCTCCTCGGTCCTGTAGCATCCGCATCAAGGCTTGTCGGCTGGGGTGACCAAGTCGTCGATGTAGTCGCATCAAGTCCTGACCCATCTTTGCCAGTTCCTGATCCGTCAACCCCTGCAAGCAGGACCGGTCTAGATCTGCGTCCTCTGTGGCCATTACCGTCCACCTCCTTGTTCCTGTCCCGGTACATGCCCATCATCACGTGCGCGATCCGCTGACACAACCTCACCGGGTACAGTGCCGAATTCCTTGTCCGAAGTCCACCTTCACATTTTCCATGGACGTGGTTTCCCGGGCACTTCCTCTCCGACTTCCATACCCACTGGGAGGTTCCACGAATGATCCACGGCTTCTTGATGATCTCGTGACGAGGCCGTACGCGCATCCATCCACCTGGGCCTCAAAGTACCTCCGTTCGCAATGTCGCCGCTTCCAGAATTTCCGGATGCTCGCAAATCCCCAGCCCCAATTTTCTTTGGGCCATCCCTGTAGAACTTCTCCTCCTCAATCTGCTTCTCCACGAGAGAGATTCCACGGGCAGTTGCCAACGTGATCTTCTTGTCGCTCTTCTCGCGAGATTCAGGACTCAGCCGATTCAAGGCCTGGATGGTCGAGGTCGCTTGCCCTCTTCATGATGTCGCAGTTGTTGAAGAGGCCGCACCGAATGATGGTCCCACCGACAGACTCCACGGCCTGACCAAGGCCACTATTCTGTTCGCAACACAGCTCCATCACATTCATGCCGCCCTTGTTCTCGCCGATGCCCATCATGGAGCTTCTTTGATGGCGTCGAGGTAGTGGCTGTACTGCTCGTTGACCATCTGCTTGTCCTCCTCGGTCATGTTCACCATCACATCGTGGTATTTCGTGTCCGGTGGCTCGTCGACATCCTCGAAGCACTGAGGTCTCTTCCTCATCTTTCATCACTCCGAGCGCTCCTGATATTCCAGGTCCTCCGCCGTCTCCTCCGCCTTCCGGGCTTTGCGGCCCGGCGTAGTTGACATCTGGTCCGGCTCCTTCTTCACTGGAATCTTCTTCTCGCGCACAATCTTTGCCTCGTGCTCTGCGTCCTCCAGAACACGATGTACTCCTGCGTCTCTGGGAGCACATTTGGGCTTGGCTCCGAGCTGGATTGCCCCCTTCTCCAGGTTGTTCTTCTCCGAGTTCTCCGCCTGCTTGACCAGGTTGGCCTTCTTCTCCTTGCCAGCTGGTTCAGCAGGCTCTGCTCGGCTCCGTCCAGTCCAATGTGCGCATCCTTCAGCTTGACCGTGCCCTTGAGCTTCTCCGGATCCTCCTTGGCTAGGGCTGTCTCGACGTCTTTTGACAATGGTCCGGCCTTTCTCGTCAACCCATGCGCTCCGAAGGCTGGAGTGTACGACAGCCTGATTCCGCACTGGCAGCACCCGGTCCAGGTCGCGAACTTGTTGGACCCGCTGATGCTGCCCGGTCCCGGTCGGGCCGGGATGTGAGCTCCGAAGGCATGGTGCCCCCACGCATCTCTCGTCCCAAGGATCGGGACCCTGCATCCTGGCCGAATCGTACCTCCTCCGGCGGCACCACGTTCGTCACCTTCTTTTTCCCCTTGCCCTTGCTCTTGCCATAGTTCTTCTCCGTGGCCATGGGCTCTCAGGCGAGCTAGGGGAAGCTAGGGCTTGTAGGATGCGGTCCCGCATCTCTTGATCCGAATTGCTGTTCGGGTCGCTCAATTGCGTTCCAGCCCACAACACTTGGTTTCCGTCACCTTCCAAGACCTGAACTTGCCCTTCATCTTCAAGGCCACAAACCATGACTTCAGAGGCATAAAGGTCTGTCACAGCTCCACCCTCCCCTTGCACCATGTATGCTGTAACAGGTTCGGGTGTCTGTACATCGGGCAAGGGTTTGCCGCTCACCATCCAGTCATTCGTCAAATCTACAAGCAAATGACCTGCCACGCTTCGCCTCAAAGGGACTTTCAGTCCAGGGCAAACACGACTCAAAACCATCCACTGGCCTGCTACATCAAAATTGCGCCCAGCTTGGTGAGCGTCTTGTGATTCCGATGAGGATGGGGATCTGGCCCACGTCTAACGTGAAAATCCCAAGTCCGCTGAACCTGGTTGTTCCCAAACCGGAACGACTTTTGGCCATGTGGAATCACCTTGATCTCCTTGGCGTGATGCGGTCCTTGCAGCTGGCACAGCTTCTCGATCGCCTCCCGTCTCGGTGGCACCGATGTCCAGCACCCCGAAACCGGCAGTCTCCCGAACAACTCCTCCAGGTCACTCATCTCCCACGAAGACCTTCTGCTCCTCGTGCTCCGTGATCATGTAGATTCGTCCGCTCATCACTGAGGGAACGGTGGTGCTCCAAAAGATGTTCTTCCCTTTTCCGGAGCTCTGCCCTGATCCACTCGCCCGATTCGGGCACTGGCGAAAACCATGATTTCGGTCTGCGCAGATGAAGCAACCTGTGCTCTCTGTCACCAGCACGTTCGAAGGCTTGCCCATGGTGGTTGAGGTGCTCGTTGAGCTGGATGAACCTTTCCAGCCACCATAGCCTTTGCCCTTCCCGAAGTTGCCCTTTGGCTTGCCCTTCTTCCCCTTGCCTTTGCCGAAAGGGTAGAACCCACGCGCGCCACCTTTCTGCGCGAAGGTCCGGGCCTTGTCCTCAAAGGCCGCGTGGCTCCTTCTGCTCCTTCAGCAACTCCGGGTTGAGGTCAGAGGGGATGTCTCCCTCAGACGCCCAGAACGTGCCATAGCCGTCCGTCTCCACCCAGTACCCATACGCGCCACCCGGAATCATCCCAGGACCAGTAGACCTCGTCGTTGAGGTGTTCCTCCGCTGCTTGAGGATATACTTCAGCAGGTAGCCGATCTCCAACCCAGCGCACTTCTCCACTCAACTCCTCCATGGCGTCATCTGGGCTCATAAGCAAGCCCCACGCGCCTTCCTCCTCGACCCAGTAGGTCCGTCTCCGTTGTTGTTGAGGTGGCCGATGGCCCTGAAGGAGAGCGAGTTCTGCACTGACGCCTAATGAAGAGCTCAAGTTGGCTCTTCTCAGCAGGAGCCACCCAAGAACCTCGTCCGGGAGCACCTGCACATCCTCCACCTCAAGCTCATCCCACGGCAGATCCTCTCCCGAAGATCGATCATCTCCGCTATCTTCTTGATGACTCTTTGCGCGCCCAGACTGCTTCCACTTCTTGAACTTTCTCCAATCTTCCCATTCTTCATCCTTCCATTCTTCACCATGTTCCACTTCATGAAGATCGCGCGCGGCTTCCTCTTCCTCCACCGGTTCTCCTTCTTGAGCTGGCGTTCGCGTCCGCGTGGCGGTTCCCGAGGCTGAGATTAGCGAGGGCGTCCGAACTCCTTGAGATCCAGCGCCTCCTTGAGGTTCTCCATGTGGTTCTGACTTGGATGAGGTGCTCTTGTCCAAGATCGCCTTCGTGAGGTCCTTCTTCGGCTCCATCTTGCGAGCCCTTCTCAGCCTGATGAGGAGGTTCTCCAACCTAGCTCCGGCATCAGGCACCGGGGTGCGACATAGTCGATCTTGCAGATAGGGAAGCAAGTACTTCGTGCCGTTCTTCTTGCTCAGCTTCTCGTGCGAAAGCTCGTAGGTCACGGCCCATGCTCTCCCAGTCAGGCGGGATGCCAGTTCGGGTCCGAGATGGCGTCGCTTCCAGGAGGGAGTCTTTTCCCATTGCAGTCGCACCTTGCGTGTGTAATCGGCCCAAGTGGCCGGATCTCCGTCCCACGTCACGTAGAACTCTTTCGCCTGCATGGCGGCCATGTTCTGGGTGGTGTGGTGTTTCCTGATCTTCCTGCCCGGTTCGCCGGGCTCCGCTACCTTGGAGCCTAAGAGCTCCCGGGGGTTTAGAGCAAGCCCCCAACCAGTCAGAAAGTTGACTTGCCGCTCTTTTCTCACTCCATGGCATGCTCGGGTGCCCCGAGCTAAAGTACAAAGACCAAATGGCTAAAGGGATCCCTCGGACCAAAACGGCGAACAGCGTGTGCGAGGTTGTGGCTCTGTAGGCAAAACACAAGAGGCTCACACACACGAGGCTGAGAACTTCACAATCCCCGAATCTGTACAGATTGCCGAGCATCCGAGCTGATCCGGCAACTCGGCTTTTAGACACAGACTCAAAACTGCTACGCACACCGCCTTACACGAGGAAAGCCCGCCTTTGGCTTTGGGGCATCATCCTCGAAGAGTCCGCCTGCCTTGCAGGTACAGGTAATAAATATATATATATATATACACATATGTCGTAGATGTCATGCATGCCATCCATTTCCTGGTGGATGTCATCATGCTTGACGGCATGCTACGTAGTTCCATGTTTACCTATCCGAACAGATCTGCACAACGTGAAGCAGCATCAAATCAGCAAAGCAAAACCAATCGCTCGAGATTGTCAAGCAAACTTCAATACAGCCCATGCACTATAATATACCTACACAACAAAATGGGCACCTGCATGCGACGCAAACTGAGAGTCAGTGTACAAAATCACGCATCGTCACCCCATATCATCACAGCACGCTCACTCGCCTTGCCCAGCGGGCTTGCCAAAGCAGCCTGGTCGACTGGCAACCGACCCATGTCTTCATCCGCAGCAAATGCTTGTAAGTAACAGGTCCAGGCCGTTTCCCCAACATCACTGTGGCATCGTTTAGAACAAGATTCAAGTGCCATACTAGTCCGACATGGAATGTATTGCAAGTCAAGCTGGTTCAGCAATCCCCGAATCTGTACAAATTGCCGAGCATCCGAGCTGATCCGGCAACTCGATTTTGAGACAAAACTCAAAACTGCTACGGCACCGCCTGACACGAGGCAAGCCCGCCTTTGGCTTTGGGGCATCATCCCCGAAGAGTCCGCCTGCCTGGCAGGTACAGCTCACATATGTCATAGATGTCATGAATGCCCTTCGAATGTCCTGCAAAGCAACACCATTCACACCTACCGCTTGCAGCATGGCTCAGAGACCATGATATACCCTTGCATGGAACCATTAGACTCACCATGAACAACAAAGTTAGAGAAGGCAGCAATGACTCGGATTCAACTACTAACATCATCACAACACACAGCCTGTTTGGCTGGAATCGCCGCCTCACAAGCGTGTTATGTCGCGGTCGGTGAAATCTAACTTCCTACAAAACATTTTGATTGATGGATGCAAATGAAATAGTCAAATGAGGGCGCTGCCCTGCAAGGAAATGACACGTACCAATTGAGAGGAGGAATTGGCTGCTCTGCAGCGGTGTTCGGACAAATCACAAATACAGCTGAGGTCCCAAACACTGATAAATCAAGCAGAAAAAGGCGTGTGTTGAAGCTGGGCCTAGCATGCACACATCCCCAAATCAGCCCATGCCACTTGTGTTGACGTTGGACCACCCCCTGCTGGTGCCAGACCTTTTCTTCGCAGGAGAATGGCTCCCAAGAAAACCCACGCATGAGCGCGCCCAGAAACCATTGGCGGATTTGCATAGGCCTTGCCATGATCCCTCTACTCAAATGGTCAAGCGGTGTTTTGCGACCCTCCAAAGCCGTGTTTTGAGGGGTCCATTAATTCTCAGGAGTGCAGCTGCCGGATAGGCACAGCATTTAGCAACCAATCTCACGCACATGTACACAAAACCACAAACCTGTGCACAGTGACCAAGTCGGCTTTGCCAGGAAACAGCTAAGTGGCCTGGCCTCCTATATTCTGTGCTTCCTTAAGCTTCACCCATTGCTTCAAACCACCAGAGGGAACTCGGCGCCGCCTTGCTTGGTGCTGGCTTCGGCCTTGCGGGAGCCTGGCCAGCCGGCAACCAAATCTCTCGCTCCCATGTGCGATACGTCGGCTGTGCCTGCCTGTACAGTTTAAACCAGAACAGGTTCGTCTTTAATTGGCGGGATGTCCGTTGGTTCCGCTTTTGAACTAGTTCAAGGTGGGTACTCGCGAAAATAAAACAATCAAACCACAAACTCCGTGCAAAAAGAAACGCAGCGACATCATGCAACCTCTGCAGTAGCCACCCAACTGGATTTGTCCGCTGTCACGGCTCCTCGTCATTGAAGAGCGGATCCTGACAATGCACCATAGTTCAAAATTGGACATGGAGTCCGAAAAACCTGGTGCAAGGACGGAGCTCTGGTTAAGATACTTTGCCATACGCGTGGGGAGGGGTCTGCAAATGGAGCCGAAATGCGCGACAGGAGCCCGTTTAGAATCAAAAAACAATGGCTTTGTCGCGGGGCAACACTTAGCAAAACAGGTAGGGAGCATGTTACAATGAATCTGGCTGAATTAGAAAAACAACATGTATCTGAAATAAGGGTTCATCATGAAAGGCAAGTTTACCACGGTGAGGTCGCAAGCCTCCTCTGGCAATTTGACCAGAACGAAGGTGCTGCTTGCTTTATTTGGGTGCCCCTTCGGGAGATCTCGTTTCTGGCTCTCCCCAAACTCCGGAAGGAGTTCCCTGCTGAGCTACTTGTAAGGGGTCCTCGTGAGACTTTCCCCTGAAAGTGGAGTCCCAGTGACTTGTCCAAACAGGAAGTAAGTTTGGGCAGCTGATAAAAGCTAGTCATCGGCAGAAGGGCCCTGGGCCAATTCTTCAGCAGAAGCTTTCCTGATACAGGGGTCCCAATCCCATGGGCCCAATCCTTGATCCATAGAGTTGGAGGCCCCGGTTCCAATCCCTTCCCACAACCCTGAAGAGCGGCCACGGTCTCAGTCCTCGTCCCTGGCAGGCAATCGGCTGCCAGCTTTGGTCGGGAAGTCGAAGCCGTCGTCGTCAAAAAGAGAGGAGCCCTGCGCACTTTCGTGTCACCACTGGGTATCTACGTAGGTGTAACCTGAGTGGCAAACGTTCCACTGGTTCATCCCAAAGCATGCCGAAGCTCCCCAGTTCCCAAGTTTCGACTGGAGGTTCTGTTCGCAGCTTTGATGAAGCTCCCCGTGCAAGACTGTCGGCCCCACAATGTGATATCACATCACAGTTGCTCAGAGCGGAGTCAGATTAATTCTGGCCAGAACTAAACTAGGAGAAAACAACTGACAAGCCTAAAGCTGGCCCCTGTTTCCAATCCCACACTTAGGCCTCGCAAACTCTGCCTAGACTCCTCTGCCAACCCAGTGTCTTACCTTGAGACCTACAACCAAGCAAAGCTTCGCAGCTGAGCTGTTCCAGAAGTCTTCGCTCGCACGCGCAACAGCCTCACCGGGACGTCCTTGTGGCCCCTCCCTACCAAAAATCCGTTGGACTCGTCGTGCTAAGCACAACGGCTCCTCCATTGTCTCTTTTGGTTCGCCAGTCATTCCATGCGGCAAATTCCACAAATTGGAGAAGAGTGAGTTGTGCATGTTGTTTTTGACTTTGTGCGTGTTTCCGAAACCTGACCCCCTAAAAATTGTGGTTTTCTGGTGGTTTCTAAAAAAGCACCCATCCAAAGGGAGGTGCAACCAGTGTCCCCACATGTGCCATGGTCAAAGATCCTTCCGGGCGTGGTCATGGGGTTCCTTCAGTGGAAATCCCAACAATGGTTGCATCTAAACTCATTGAGGGCTCATGATCCCTACCAACCCCAAGTATGGTCTTTTGCACACACGGGGGCCGGTCTCACAACAGGAAGCACCATTGTGGAAAGGCTTGAAAGAGAAACGGGAAACTGAACAATTAGCGCACGCAAGAGGCCCTAAGTGTTGCAAGGCATTGAAGTGAATCCAAGAGGCAACCAGACTCAGAGGGCTCCCTTCAAAGGACCCTGGACTTTTGTTTGGCTCCAAAGGGAAACCCAAGGAAACCAACGATCTGGGGGGGGCACCCTCCCCTATTTGGAGACACGCCCTGTCACAACTGCCCTGCCTTCGAAGCTGAGGGCGCCTGGGTCAGAAACAGAGCAAAGAGCGAAGAGCAAAGAGCCGAGAGAGCACAGACCGATTGCCATGTGGTGGGTGGTGGTCGATAGCATTGCTTCCTTGAAACGGGCAGAGACGGGAATGCTCGCCCAAACCTTCTGGAAGCGAAGGAACCCGGGAACATTGGCTGATTTCTGCTGGTGTTTTGATGACTTCACCCGTGAGCCACTGTTTCCGCGAGCAACTCTGTACAAAGGTGTCTGGGAGTTTGGCTAGAAACGAATGGGTTCCACGAGTTTAGATGCGTTTCTTCCACTTACAATATTATTCCGCAAAGTCTCCTATTCCACGGATCAAGCAAGAGAAGCTTCTCCAAGATGGCAAATGATTCGAAAATGTTGTCAACATCAAATGCGGTAGCGGGTTTCCCCGGATTCACCTTTTCCATTTTCCCTCTAGAATTGTGCTTGAGTACAAAGCAGTTCAATGTGTTTTCTGAAAACTGCATGGGAAGCCATGCTGTGCACATTCAGACAGTTTGCCAAGAAGTCCTAAACAAACGATTGTGTTGTGCATGCCCTTACACCCTGCTTGTTTGAAACACAAGGCGAATTTTCAAAGGTGGACATTCGTAGCCCCAACTAAAGCTCGACTCCTGGTGGCGAAGCTTTCAGGGGGTCAACATTTGCACCAATGTTGGAAATGCCTTTGAATGGCCATGAAACTGCGCACCCCTGCCTCATCAAAGAGGGACCCAGCGCTTTTGGCGGGCGATGCCTGACGCGCCGACGCACGACTCGGCGGTGTCACACGGGCGCCAAAACCGCGTGAAAGCCTCGGACTTTCCAGCAGGGCATCCCCAATCATCGAGTCTCACTGACCGCGTCCATCCAAGCACCTGCCAAATCTGGCTCATGAGCACCTCTTCTAACAGCATAACAAGACTCGAATAGAAGGGCCGGATTGGCCTTGCCACATGATCCTTTTGGATGCGCAGCTTGAGAGATCCATTTTTAAAGGTGGCAAAAATGACCCGAACGAAATCGGTCCAATTATTGAAAACCTCAAATCAGCAACAGGGGGGAGCTGAGTTTGGCAATCCACAAAATGCAGATCTCACAACCTAGTTCTAGTTAAGGTCTGTTCAAACCCTAAGGAAATTCTTAAATCCATGCCCCGACCCCAGATGTGCGAACCCTCCGCGCTCAGCCCCGGCCTTCGCCGGTCGCGGCACCTCCGGGGAGGGCAGAGCCGGGCCCTCATGCAAAGGAAATGGTTGTGCAAAGCCGAGTCGAAACATTATAGGTTTCTGTGTATTATTCGATATATTCTATATCTATATATATGTATGTAAATATACACATGGGAAGTGCTCAAAACATCCTGTTCAAATCTAGGGCATAAGGAACTCTGACGTTGATGCGCTGGCGCGACATTACGCGAGCGGTAGCTTGCGCGACCGATTGCGCAACACGCTGGCCTTCAGCCGCCACATGTTTGTCTTACGCGGGGGGCCCTGATGACCACCTTCAATCGCAAGGCAATGTTGTTTGAACGCTCACATATACCTACACATCATGTACATCATGTTTTGTTTGCCACCAGTCACCAGCAAACATGAATGAAAGTTTGCGCAAACGTCTGCCAGAATTCAACAACATCTACTAAACAGCTGTGGCCATTTGTGGTCATGTGAGCAACCTGCAGCTTCCCGCTAGCAAGGGAACGGGTGTTGCGCAGATGTCGCCAAGCGAACTGTCAAAAAGTTAAAGGTCAAACCAAAGGGCAATCGCGTCACATGACATGTTGCTCGCTTGGCTCAACGACTCAAAGCTGATGAGCAGATTTTCGCGCAGCGATCACCGTCGGAATTCCTTGTTGAAATCCGTACGGACTCTGGAAACCGCCGCTAGAATCTCGCATGTAGCGAACCTTTTGTGCCACTCCATGCGAAAATTGGGTTTGGAATCTACAACTCGCAGCCCCGGTACCACTTGGAAAAAACCTTGTCTGGCCAAATGCATCCGTATAACTCCAAATGTCAGCTTCACGTGGGTTACCTGATCTCCTTACAAGCAGTCTAGTTAATAAGTCCTTCTCCCCAGTCGAACGAAACGATGCCATTCCGGGGCCCACAAATCGAGGAGCACCCCCAAACAACATATCATATCTGAGAATGCATGTTCATGTTCGTCACTGCAAAATGCAATACTTGCGCGTAACACTTCTGAAGTTTCAATTACAAATTCAGAAATGCGCTGACTGAGTTTATCAACACCTTTGTGTTATGTAGAACGTGGAGATGAGGGTGTGGTCAGGTGTGCCTCAAAATGGGGAACCTCCAGAATGGGTGTTTGTTCCTTGATTTCCCTTTCTAGATCTTCAATTTATTCCCACACAAGCACAGGACCCCAATAGGGAGATATCCTGAAGAAGGCAGAGCAATCGCTTGATCGGTGCTGGTGTTCCCATCTCACCGCAAGGCCCAGAGAAAAGAGATCGAGCGCCTGAATGTAGCCCAGGGAGAGGAGACGGGGCCGCAGGAAAGAGTTGCTGGGTGCTAAATGGCGACACCGCCATGACTTTCCTCTGGCAGCAATCATTCAAATGGTGTCATCATGATTTGAGGAGGACAGTTTGATTTACTGAGCACCAGGCGGCTGGAAAGTGCAGTTGATGGCAGCTGCGACGGGGATGGGGCTGGCTGGGTTACTGGTGCTACACGCCAAGGGCTTGGTGTGTAGACCAAAAAGCGCCTGGGCCACAAGAAGATCTTGGTACTCTTGGTACTTGAAGTTTGGGGTGTCCAACCAGAAGCGGAAACCGCGTGTGCCTCACGTAGTTGTTGACAATGTGTGTGTGTGTGCCCAGAAAAGGAAGGAACCCATTTGGACGAGGACGAAAACGATATATATATATATATATATATATATATATATATGTATATATATATATATACATATATACTATTATTTCTTCTTTTGATTTTTTTTGGGGGGATAGTCATCATGATGAGGGGTGGTCAACGTCACTGGGAAGAGATTAGACCTTTGACACGCGCAACATCCAAGAAGGGTCGTCCAAGTAGTCGGTGACCTTTCAAGGAACATCTCCGTTCTCTCAGAGGCAGCTTCTCAGATTCTTGGGTCGTGCCAACGGAAGACTGCCGCATGCCTGCTCAAAGGTGCAGCTCCGCTCAAGAAAATTCAACTTGCGCCTTCTGGGAAATTGCCCCCGAGCGCATCACCCTGACACTGTATGCAGATTGCATATGTATGAGTATATATAATATATATATTATATATGATACACATACAGAGGTAGAGGGGTCGTAAGTTCCAAAATCACTTCCAAGCCACCCCCGGGACGGACTGCCTGGAAGGGCTCGTCGTCAAAGAGGGAGCTGGAGCTTGCAGGAGACGCCTGAGCTGCAGAGTGATCAAGCTTGAGACCCCAGAGGCAGGGGGCCCTTGGCGGACCGTTTGGGTGCTTCAAAACATACCTTCCCACTGACTAACACGGGGCCTGCACTTGAAAATCATATTCTTTTCGATGGGCCTTACTAGTGGGAGGGAGGGAGTTCCTTCTGGTTTCTCTTTCAACAACATTGAAAATAGGGACCCAAAGCCGCAAACAAGGAAGTGTCCCAAGTTCAGTGGCCAATTTTCAAGCTCGAACCCTATGGCAGCAATGTGCACAAGCGATGTCCTGAACGGAAATCCCAAAGTGTGCCGGGCCGAAAAAAGAACAACCTCAAAACATTATGGCAAGAAGGTGGTTTGGAAGGGCCTGCTCAGTGCAATCAAGCGAGTTTTGCTTTGCATGGCAGACGCCAAGCAAAACCGCCGCTTGCTGCAGCATTTCGCGTCCTGCAAGAAGATACAAAAAAAGACAACGCACCAAGAACAAAAGGCGATCTGGGAGAACGCTTCAATTGTGCACAAAAGACCCGCTCTTGGTTTTGTCCAATCAATTCATGGGTGTTTCAGAACTACACCCAAAGCAGCAAACTAACAGTTTTGTTTGGCGGTGATCATCACTGGTCGACGTTTGCTTCCGTGCACCAGAAAAGGGGCCCGGGCACTGCCAATCTCGGAAACAGACCTGCAGCTGTCAGCCACACACCCGCGTCCCCCGCCCCGCCCCGCCTTCGAAGAAGCTTGCAAGGGTGCCTGCCGAGAGGAGCGGTAAGGTTCAGCGTTCCACCCGGGCTCTGCGTTTGCAGTGGCCTTGGTGTCACATGAAAGGCTGCGTGACCTTTGGGCAGGGTTTTGGAAAAGAATATGCTGAGCGTTTCCCCCATCTGTGGGCCCTGGGGAATTGGCCGGCCAGTTCGAATAGAAAAATACGACGTGATGCGGAAGGAAGTGGCTGATCTTCCTACCAAGATCAACAGAGATTCCCTTCGCGGCAACAACAGCAAATGACATCAGCAGGGGAAAAGCGGCTTTCAAAAATGGCATCGCAAGCAAATAGCAAAACAAAGTTCGTAGGTCATCAAGGAAACAAGTGGTTATTGATTGCTCAAAGTGATTCAAAGAAACAACTGGCGCCTTTACATTTCCCGAGGGATCACCACAAGAACGTACCAAAATCCCAGGCGGGAAACAACTACACTTCTGCTAAGACCTGTGCCAAAATCAACGAGACTTCCCGGCAGGACCTCGCCTTTGCCCCAACTGAAAAGCAACTTATCCAGCTCTAGGTCCGCTGCGGAGCGGACTTTTACTTGAGCCAAACACAGAGTCGCACAACCTGTACAAGCGTATTGGGCATATATGGAGGAACAATTTATTACTCCTCCTTGGTGGAGCAGCCCTCATGGGCTGATCATACCGCAAACTCCCAAGAACTCGTGGCGGAGCATGGACCAGGGACCTTCAAGATCCAAGCAGTCCAAGCTGACCCTTGCTGCGCTCCACCAGGAAAACGTATCCTGATCTACGCAAAGTCTCTTACATCTGTACACCAGGCACGCTCTTTCTAAGCATGTCGGCGCGGTTGCGCTTGCCTGGGACATTAGTGTTTTCAAGGTGGTCCATAGCTACTCGTTCCTGGAGCCAGAGATATCTGGTCTGGATATGTCCTAGCTTTACCTAGACGCCTCCAGAGGCGCCTCGGTCGGCTCGGGCTCCATCGTTTTTTATTATATGCGGTCGAGATATAGGACGAACGACAAGGACGACCCCCGAAGCCGGACGACGTTCCCGTCCAGGTCGGTCAGGCGAAAGCGCAGGTGCCTCGGGGTGACGGGGCCCCTCACGGCCATGAAGCGCCCGTCGTCCGAGCCCGTCTCCACGATGGTGCCCACGCCGCTTTTTAGTCTTGGACAGGATGTCGTCTCCCAGGTTGCCCAGCACGCGGCTGATCCACTCCGATTCACAGTGCCCTTCGCAGCAGTAGCGTCTGATTCCACTACTACAGAAATGGGAACTTGAAACTCTTCGAACAAGGCTTGCAACCCTAGTGCTACTGATCCACCCTTCACCAGAGCGTACTACTCTGACTCGCCGGTTGATAGGGCAATCGTTGACTGCACGTTGCTTGCGTGCTTCAAAACATGTTCGCCGTACAAAGCGATCATACCTGTCGTCGACCGACAGGTAACTGCATCGCCCGCGTGGTCGGAGTCGACCTGAACTCGTAGCTTGGACGGCTTAGCCTGTCTTGAAAACACTTGGCTTATATCCGGCTTCTTGACCAAATACCTGCATAGCCGCTTCAAGTCTTGCAGAGATGGGTCAGTCGGTGCAACCATCTTCCTCGAAAGATTCTTCACAGCATGACTCGAATCAGGCCTGCCCTGACTCAAATATGCTGCTCGATAACACACGACCGGTGCATGGATGCCATGTCCTTCGAAAGAAGTGGGCTGTTGCATCATCTGCACGTCCACAGACTTCTTCACGTCAGGTGTCTCCACACCTTTTGCCTTTGCGCTGGCCATGCCAAGCTGTTGAACTAGTAGATCAACATGCCGTCGGTCAGGTTCCAAGAAAATGGCACTCGATCCTTGGTGCACTCCACAACGAATCAAGCGATTCAAGCAGTGAACCTCCTTGTCGTCACTGACTTCGTCTCCCAAAGTTCCGAGCCATTTCAACTCATATGCAGTCTTGAGAATATCGTTCAAACGCTGTAGAGCTTCTCCATCTCCCAACGCCATGAAGTCATCCCCATGCACGAGAACCAGCAAAATGCCACCGTTGACATCGTCTCAATATTCCTCTATCTCGTCTTCGCCGACAAAAGGTTCCTCAGCTATCGGTCCTGAGGATGATTGCTCTAAAGCACTGCGCTGACCTGTCTGTACAGAGCTGCCTTCACCAAAGCCGGCGGGTACCAAGCAGCCGCTCGAGCCACACCGCCGATCAGATGAATGTGCCTGCGCCATGGTTTGGCACCTGTCTTGTTTGTGCACTCTCCTTGTAGCAAATCGGCCAACAACTTGTTGTTGGTCATCCATCCTGTCTCCTTTCTCAGCCTTGGAGCCCTTGCTTGTTGGTGGACTCCATAGACCATCGGCACATCGGGCCTCTCACGACGAGGTGTACATCATCTCGGTCTAAGAGTTCCTTGACCTCCGGGTCTTTCCACTCCATGGTGCCTCGTGCAGGAAATACCTTCCTGACAACCTGCATGAGGTGTGCAAGTGGCACAGCGCCTTGTCCATCCTCACTCGGCGCTGGTCAGGACTGATCCTACTTGTTGATGTTCTGCAACTGGGAAAACTGGTCGCGTGGTGGACTACCAGTCAACAGGATCGGCTGGCCCTTGTCGATCAAAGCTTCAACTTAACTTGCTTCACATCTTCCGGACTCAGAAGATCCCAACAAGATCCGTCCGGCTGCTGCTCCTCTGCGTCTATAGCATAGCCAGGCCTAGCTGCTTCTCCTGTGAACCTCTTCGGACTATACACCTCCATCACATCCACAGCACCCATCTCGCAGCAGAGAATCGTAATGGAGTTGAGCTCCTTGTGCGTGATGTCCATCTCATAGGCTTTGTGAGCTCGTTCAACCTTCCGTTCAATCATGTTCTTCACCATCGTTTTCAAACGACTCAGGCTCAGTCCACTCGCGTCCGAGGGCTTTGCCTGTTCGGTTGAAACTCCGGCTCCCGGCTGGGACAGCGGGCTCTTCCCATCCGTCGGAAATCCAACGGTCGCACTTGGCAAGTCTTCGGACGCCAGTGCCTCTTTTCACTCCTTCAACGGTCATCACCAGGAGTGCATCCGGTCCCTTCCGGTACCCGGCACATGAGGTCCCCCGCATGCCGCCTGGGTAGCCACAACAAGACCGGGCTCGAGTGATGACCTCAAGATACGTACCTGCCTCTTGAGCTCGCGGACGGCATTCTCCGCCAGTCCGTTACTCCTATGATCCCCTACAGGTGGTTCCTGCAGGACCATCTCCAAGCCCACTTCACGAGCGGCTTGCTCCTTCTGCATGTTCTCCGTCACTCATCATGACAGCGCTGACAAGGTTGTTGACCGTTCGGACCCACCTCCGGAACCCTTGCTCTTCGTTATGGAAATCCGGTTTACCAATCCTTTTTGTGTCAACAAGCAGCTTTCTGGGCTCATCTTTCCTCGACGCCTGTGCCAAATCACCTATACCTTGGGCCAACGCTGCCAGACTTGCCTGCTGTGTTGTCTGTCCTCCTGAGTGGCTCGCAGCGCAGTTGGTTTACAGCGCTGAGCTGGGCCATCTCTTCCGGACTCGCCATCTTCACACGTCCGGCGAGGGCGTAGCCTCTCTTGTACAAAGAGTCGGTGACTGTTCTCCCGATTCAAACTCAACGTCGGAAAAGCAGGCCAGGAGCGATCGAGGAGGCTGGCGCGGTGGTACGGGCTTCTTCTCCTTCACCTGCACCTCTGGCTCGCTCTCAGTCGATTCCTCCTCAGCTCACTCCTCTGACCCGCTGTGAAAATGGGCCGGAGGTTTTAGAGAATGCTTTCTCTTCTTTTGCTCTCTCCTCCTTCTCTTTCACCACCTTCTTCTTCTCCTCCTTTCCAGCCACGGCCTTACCAGCCAGCTGCAGCAGGACTGGCTTTGGTGCGCCGGGGCTTTCTTGGCTGTGGTACCCATCGGCTGCTGCTCTGCGCAGCAGCGCCCTGCCCCGCTCGTCACAGGAGCTGCACGGGTTGTTCAAGCTGTCTCTGCCTGATTCCGGATGGCCGTTTCCTCCTCGGCCTCCAACCCGTGTCCTCCACGCTCCCACTCGCCTCAGTGCACTCTCCTGCGTCAGCGGATGCACCGTGATAATCCGCCCAAACGCACTGGCTGCGTGGGGTTCTCGGTCTCGCGACCGGTTGGTGCTTCTTGCTCTTCAACCTGCTCTTCTTCGTCAAACTCAACCCCGCGCTCGTTTCTGAAGCGCTCAATCTCCTCGCGCAGCTGCTGGGATGGAGCCTTGCCGAACTTCGCGGACTGCTTGAGCAAGCCTTTGAGCACCCGGAACTGCCTGCTCACCTGGCTCCTCCTCCAATCGTGGTAGGTGCCCTTCTTGCTCCGGCCGCAAATGCGAGGGCTTGCCTTTGCCCTTGGCCTTGCTCTTGTCCTTTCCGGCTTTGCCAGCCGGAGGGTGGTCTCCGGGGCCTCGCTCTGCTGCTGCTAGCCTCCGGATGCTGCTCTCTCACCTCGTCCGGATAGGGATCTTTGGCTCCTTTTTCTCAAGCTCCTTGAACTCCTTCTTAGGCTCCTCGGCTGGCTCTTCCGGAGCAACGGCACCACAGCGAGACGCACGCAAAGGTCCGCACCTCCATTTCGTGCGCATCGAAGACAACTTTTTACGCACAGGGCCAGCAATTTGAGCCGACACCTCGATCTACACCAGGCCTTAACTCTTACCGTAAGAACTCCTTAGTGTAAACACTATTTGGGGAAAAACAAGACCATGTCAGCTGTCCTGGCTTGGGGGGGGGAAGTCTTGTTTTGTGTTGTTTTTTCTCCAGGCTTTTTGCATTTCTTTGAAAAATTGTGACAACCCCTGAGAAAACCAACAAAAAAGCAAACAAACAGAATTCTATCAGCTGTCGGGGGGTATAACATGTTTGTTTTTGTTCTCGAATTGTTTTTGCACTGTACCCTTCTGTGATCAAGTGTGCTGGTGTACTTCACCTCCAAGCCCTAGTACAGCAAGTTAGAGATGGTTTCCTCTGCTAAAACGGTTCCTTATTACAATCGTCTTAATTAGATTTAGACTTGTACTCGTATCACTTGACAAACATATTGAATAGAGTTCGCAAGAAAGAAAGTAGAGGTAGAAAAACTGTTAGATGTTGTTTAAGTGCGCTAAACATTATCGGCATCTCTGGTGTCTTTCCTTGTGAATCCTACCTGATATATTCATCAAGTTCTACTAATACCTATCTCACATTAGATAGAATTTGACCAAGAAAGAATCCAAACAGCTTTCAAATTTAAAGTATAGATTGAATAATGCGCATTCTATTTCAAAACAAATGTTACACAAGATTTCCTTTCCAATTGAAATGTTTGTTGCAAATCAATAGACATGTTGTTTAGATGCTTACTGGTTTGTAAGTGCAGTTCTATTGGAAAGGCACTCCCGTGTAGCATCTATATTATATTGAAGTAGAATAATCATCACTTGCAAATCTAATTGCACATGGAAATTTTGATGGAAAGAATTCAGAGGTCCCGAAATCGTGTGTGCTTTTGTTTACTAGCCCTAGCACTACCATGGTCAGAAAACACCGTAAAACACAGTGTTTTGTTGCGTTTGCCGTACTCGGTTCACATCTCCACCAACGGCTGCCCTCTAACACTCAGTTTGAATTTGAATGGGATTTAAATGGCATTCAACAAGGGCATTCTTGATAATCCTACTAGATATCACATCTTACATTTAGACTTTAGAGGGAACCCTTGCCCACTAGAACATTACAACTAAGTTAGAGTTGAAGCATAACTTGATAAGGAATGAATCCAGGCACCACTTCTATGCCATAACAGTCGTTCCAACAGAATGATTCTATGTAAAAAGATACTTTACACAGCCTGTTCTGCCCAATCGAACTTCTTTACACTTCAGCTAAGATTTAAACAAACATAATTTAAGATGATTTTTGAAAAGCACACGCTCACAGCATTTCGTTTCTTAAATTCGAATTGTTTTTGGAATTTTAATAAACAATTAGTTTCGACTTAATAAAAATCCTCGTAATTTAACATTTGTAAACCAATAGAGCTGAAACTGCGCTTTCTTTGGATTTTTGAAGGTTGTTCACCCCTTTTAAGGGGCAGGTAAATTGAAAGAAGCGAAGAGCTTGTCTTTCCTTTTTAGGTGTTACATTTGAGTCAAAATCCTACTCGGAAAGGAACTCCTGTCAAACATCAAATTCAAAGATCAGAATTCCAAATAAACCGGTGTCTTAAATTTGAGCATCCTAGTTGATCCAATTAGAAGAAACAACCAGCTTGTAGGGTTCAAACTAAATTCTGATTAGAGCCCTACGTGGATTGAATTCCTATTCCAGCTCTGGTTCAAAATGCTAATATTACTTGAATTCTAATTAAGGTCCTACTTTTCCGAAAGACTTGCAAATTGAAACGTGTAAGCCTATAGGCCTGAAACTGCATGTTCCGTGGGCTTGGGCTTCTATTGTCTTATTGAGTCTCTTGGCTTTTCACCCAAGGCTTCCAGTATAGCACGACGACTTACAAATAGAATGGCCCGAATAGGCAGCTTCTCAACACTTGTTGAATAGCAACATGCGGAGAGGTTATCCAAGCTGTCTTTTTGGGGCCTCTCAACACTTTGGGCACCCCGGAGCGCAGAATGCTGAGAGGTCCCTGAAAAACCTGGGTGCTGAGTTGAAACACCTAGTCTCATGAAATCTGGGGCTGGCCCGGGTACCGAACCGGTACCCTCTCCTCTCAACACGTTCTGCTTTTAGAAGAATAAAGTGCTGAGAGGGCACCTAAAAACCTAAAGCACCCTAGGTCTGGTGCACCGCAGAGGCCTTTGCCACCGAAGATGCTTTTTGTCTTGTCTGTTGTGTATGCTCTTGCCAGGGCTGTGCATGTTGAGCATGTCCACTGGGGGATGCCCACCCCGGGGCGGTTGTACGCCACCATGGTGTGTTGCTGTTTGTCTGGCTTGTGGCTGTCTGTTGTATGTTCTTTTTCTGCCTGTCGCGGCCTTCCAGCTTTTCCACTTCTCTCCTAGTGAGATTCCAAGCCCCTTTGAGGACTAGCTGTCTCACCGCTGGGAGCCGCTTTCTTTTGTTGCTCCACAGGTGTTCGCGTGACTTGCCAGGACACGGTGCACCCGCTGTTGCTTCATGGGCTTTCTTCAACGCTGGCCATGATTTCCAAGTCTTGGCGCATGTTCTGCATGTCCAAATCTTGGTTTCTTGGTGACCCTTGGGACCCAGTATAGAGAATGGCCCGTTGCTTTTTTTGCAGGTCACCAATCTCTTGCCTCTGGGCTTGCTCCTTCTGCATGGCCTGTCCCACTTGGCAGGCTCGGTGTTCAGCGGTCATCGCTGCCAGTGCTTGCTGCGTTTGTGCCGGTGTGGCACCTGGCGGTGCTTGCTGACAAGTTTTGAAGTGGGCCTTGATTGACGCCCTGCGCTGCTCGGGCGGCAAAAATGGCAACAATTTTCCACAAAATCCACATGGTGGCCTTCCGCCGTTGCTCCTTTCTGACCACATATCCACAGAGCCCGCATGTACATTGGATCCGTCCCTTGAAGGCCTGACTGCTGCTGGACTGTTGCAGGTCTTGTGGTGCAAGTTGGTCCTGGTAGCTGCTTGCTGCCTGGTGGCTGCTTGCTGCTTCCATGTGCTCTGCTGGCTGGATGGCGTCAGCCTTTGCTTTCCTCTTGGGGGTGGCAAATTCGCTCAATGGTGGCTGTAAGCTGGTTAAAACTGATGCCGGCGCTGCAAAAACAGAAGTTGGTGGCTGCGAGGATGATGCTGACTTGGCAGTCTTGCCTCCTCTCTCTGCCGTCTACGGCCTCAAATGCGAAAGCATCTTTGAGACTTGCTGGGTTGCCCAACACTCCTGTCGCCCACTTCCTTGCTGCTGTGGCGGGTGCTTTGACGGACTCACTCCATCCCATCCACCCTAGCCGGGGAGCAGAGGGTATCTAATAGCCTAGGTACCCGGCCAGCCCAAGAGTTCTGATTTTAAGTTTTTTAGGCACCTTGTCAGCACTCCAAATTGCCTCAGACTAGTTTTTTTTTATAATTTGTTGGGGTACCTTTCAGCCCTGAGCCAGGATGTTTTTGGCACCCTCTCAACTGAGAACACACGGACACAGGGACAGACCGACACGCAGACAAACGGACAAACGGACACACAGACGCACGGACACACGCGCACGGACACGCACACAGACACGCGGACACACGGACACACAGACACACAGACACACGGACACACAGAAGTAAAAAGACCTAGGGTAGTATGCTCGAGGGGTGGTATGGGTACGGTCAGAGCGATGGGTACAGTCGAGGATTGTGGCCGCGAAAGAAGCGCCTGTCCGAAGCTTCATCCGGAATAGAAACCCACAATCGCCGGAACGTAAACGTCGTCTCTAGCCTGCAGCGGGCCCAGCGGGGCGTCGAAGAGGTTCCCAGAGCCCGCCGGCACCGGCCTGGGCTTTCGCGTTTCAGGAGGGGGCCAACTCTGTTGTTTCAGGCTGCACTTTCTTGAGCCTGGGCAACCATGTGAGATTCCGTTCAGGGTACGATAGAGCCAAGGACGGAAGTTTGAAAGTCATGCAAAAACTAGTGTGTTGACCGCATTCCTAGTAAACTGCCAGCGCACGGAAGCGCGCCTATTGCATGCGCATGAAGTCGAGCTCCAGCTAGTTGACTTGTTTGCGGATTCGGTAGTTAGCTGGTTCGAGTTGGCTAGTTGTCTAGCTAACTAGCTAGCCAGCTCGCTTGTTGAATCGAAAGTAGCTAGTTAGCCAGCCAACTTGCTTCTCTTACTTAGGTAGTTAGCACAACTGGCTTGTTGCCTACATAGCTTGTTGATTAGCTAGTCGCCTAGTTTGTGAGTTAGCGTATTAGCTGGTCAGCTGCCAAGTAGTCAGCTGTTTGAAGAGTAAGTTTGCGAAGATAGGTTGGCAGCTAGCTAGTTAGCTAGTTAGTTTCGTCAATTGACAAACTCCGAGTCCTGAGGGTCGACCAACGGTCGACCCCCACCGAGACTCCGCAGCAAAAACAACGATGTGCTGAAGGTCAACCCCGCTCAAGCGCCCTTAAAGGGTTCACCCTTTGATGGTTGCGAAGCAGTGCGCGCGGCCCCGTGCCGATGGCCCATCTCCGCCCCGGTGCCAAACCCATTCCGAAGCCATTCCGGGGCCGCCTGCCTCGTCGTTGTTGCACGCATCATGCTTGCATGAGCCCAGCGTGTTGGATTCGAGCGCGGACCGTCAACTCAATGCAGCAAAAGCTGCCGGAACGCAGCCTTGCATAGCCAAACCAAAACCCCAACACCGGTGCTTGCCACGGACTGACAAGACATCGGAATACCTGCAAAGATTACCGCAAAACCTTAAATACTCGATTGTTCACGGCTGCGCCATCGATCTTTCTTTGCAAAGTCTGGCCAATCAAGACCAGCCTCATCCTGGAGGGAGTAAACACAATTGACAGAAAAGGGACAGATTGCCCATGTTCCATCATTTTCTGGACACCCCCTCAAAGAAAGCAGCTTCTCCATAACGGCCGTTGAAACCTGAAATAATTTCTCAAAGCCCTACCACCAGACTAAGGAGATATGACATGTATCAAACACCAAAACAAGGAAACTGCCCGACACGCTTGTTTGACTTGCAAATCAACCTTCACGCGTGTCCAGAGTACACAAAACACTCATTCAAGGTGGGATAGAAGCCAATTCTCGCGCGGCGTGGGGCTGATCGGGCCTGGCGGACATCCCAGCCAGGCTTCCGCGCGGAGCTTTGCCCTTGCTCTTGCCTTTGCCCTTGCCTTTGTCCTTGCCCTGGCACGAGCCATGTGAGTCGAGAAAGCGAACGCGTCCTATTCGTCATGTAACACTTACAAAGAGGGATCTCAAATCGAAGCAACCCCTGAATAAGCTTTCACTGAAAGCCAAGCGGATCCACCGACCCACCCCACAAAATCTGTTCGGGTGACCGCCAGGCCAGGACAGAGCAGTGGATTCGATTGGCTGGCTCGGGAAACAATAAACTAAACTAGAGGACGATTGGCCCGAAAGCATTTTTCCACAGGCGCTCATCCAGCCGCGGAGACACCTTTTTACATCGCTGCGGCGAGCGTGTCTGCGCGCGGCGATGCTCAGTGTGTATGGTCACATGAGAGCTCCATCTCATCATCCTACTTTCCTCTCGAACTGCGCCGCGCGATTTCTGACGAAAGTGGTCTGCGCAAGCTGCATTGTTCCAGGCTGCTGCGCGCAAGTTGCTCTCTGCAACCTGCTGCACGCTGCTGCACGCAAGTGCTCTGTGCAAGTTGCTCTGCGCAAGTGCTCTGAGCAAGTTGCTCTACGCAAGTGCTCTGCGCCAGTTGCTCCGTGCAAGCGCTTTGCGCATGTGCTCTGTGCAAGTTGGTCTGTGCAAGTTGCTCTGCGCAAGTGCTTTGTGCAATTGCTCTGTGCAAGTTGCTCTGCGCAAGTTGCTCTGCGCAAGTGACTCTGCGCAAGTTGCTCTGCGCAGTGCTGCCGGAGCTGTGGGAATGTACTTCGCGTACTATTTTTGTACTTAAAAGTTGCGATTTTCCAGCCGGAGCTGCGGGGGTGTGCTCCGCGTACTACGTTTGTACTTAAGAGTTGCGATTTTCCAGCCTGAGCTGCGGGAGCATGCTCCGCATACTACGTCTGTACTTAAAAGTTGCGATTTTCCAGCCGGAGCTGCAGGAGTACGGTCCGCGTACTACGTTGCGATTTTCAAGCCGGAGCTGCGGGGGCGTGCTCCGCGTACTACGTTTGCACGCTCCGCGTACTACGTTTGTACTTAAAAGCTGCGATTTTCAAGCCGGAGCTGGCGCGGACCAGGGGGGAATCGAACCCGCGACCGCGGGATTGCGAAAGCAGGCGCGCAAACCACGAGACAACTTCCAAAGGCCGTTTCGCGAGCAAGAAAATTGCAGTCGCCACAGCGAGAGCGCTTCGACACGCACGATCTCCGCAGAAGGTTCGCCGAGACCAAGACAAATTCGCATGGCGCCACAGCGAGAGCGCTTCGACGCGCACGATCTCCGCAGAGGGTCGCGCGCGGACCGCAGAAATCGTTAAAAGTCCTCAGTTATTGAACCTCGACCACGCGAATCTCCGCAGAGGGTCGCGCGCGCACCGCAGAAATCGTAAAAAGCTCTCAGTTTTTGAACCTCGACCACGCGAATCTCCGCAGAGGGTCGCGCGCACGCCGCAGAAATCGTAAAGTCCTCAGTTTTTGAACCTCGACCACGCGAATCTCCGCAGAGGGTCGCAATCCCGAGCGACGATCAAACTCCCGCCCCGGCGCCATAGAAACCTAAACTAACTTACATAGCTGCTTACGCCGAAGCTCTACGCAAGCTCTACCTATCCTTGGCTCTGTGCCACCTGGCTCTGTGTCACTTGGCTCTGTGCCACGTGGCTCTATGCAACTTGGCTCTATGTAACTTGGCTCTATGTAACTTGGCTCTATGTAACTTGGCTCTATGTAACTTGGCTCTATGTAACTTGGCTCTATGTAACTTGGCTCTATGTACTTGGCTCTATGTAACTTGGCTCTATGTAACTTGGCTCTATGTAACTTGGCTCTATGTAACTTGGCTCTATGTAACTTGGCTCTATGTAACTTGGCTCTATGTAACTTGGCTCTATGTAACTTGGCTCTATGTAACTTGGCTCTATGTAACTTGGCTCTATGTAACTTGGCTCTATGTAACTTGGCTCTATGTAACTTGGCTCTATGTAACTTGTCTCTATGTAGCTTGGCTCTATGTAACTTGGCTCTATGTAACTTGGCTTTATGTAACTTGGCTCTATGTAACTTGGCTCTGTGCAACTTGGCTCTGTGCAACTTGGCTCTGTGTAACTTGTCCAAGGGCTCCGCAGGGAAGAACCCTTCGCGATGCTTTCGGGAACTCTCTGAGGCAAACATGGCATCCCAGCTCCGATATCGGAGATCACTCTCAGGGTTCTTGAGAGAACCATGTCCCCCCAATCCAAATGCTGGAAGAACGTAAAGGCAACATGCCAATGCGGACCTGGCAGGTGGCAGTTGATGCAGATCGCACCCATGGCAAAAACTGCTAATCGAACATCCCATATTGGGGAGAGTGCACAGGTGATGGCAGATACGCATGACGACTCCTTGCATGCCACGTCGGGAAACAAAGAAAAAGATGTAGGACTCATGTAGGACTCATGTAGGACTCATGTAGGACTCATGTAGGACTCATGTAGGACTCATGTAGGACTCATGTAGGACTCATGTAGGACTCATGTAGAACTCTTGTATGGAGGCTTCTATGCCAGGCAGGTGGCGCGCCAGGGAGGCTTCTATGCCGGGCAGGAATGTGGCGCGCTAGGTATCGAAGCCACGTCGGCGGGCTGGCGCGGCTCTGCTCGAAAACATAAGTGGCACTTATGTTTTCGAAGTGCCTTGGAACTGGAAACAACTGCAAGAAACTTTCATAGGGCCCGGTCACAAACCACCCGGGAAGGTCGCGATTTAATTTTCCCTGTGGTGACACGATCCAGCTGGACTCTGTCTGCAGCAAAGGGTGCTACCCCTGAGAAAGACGCAGGTTTTGCCTCCAAGAACAGTCTGAAATCCAGCATCTTGATATGCCAAAGCCACATTAGGGTTGGTGAAGCTTACATAATTATGGAACGTGTTTGCCCTTGGATATTTAAAAGCGGGTGTCTTTGGAGAAGGCTCACGTGGCATGCCTCCATGCAGCTGGGGCATCTTGTGCCAAAGCCTAACATACCTCCCAAACGAAGCCGTTCTCACTCTAGTCTGCAGACTATCCTGGTGAGTTGGTGGGTCAAAGGGATTCAGAGATGGAAATCCACCCACTCCGGAGTCGCCTTGGGCGCTCCAGTGCCCGCCTGAGTGTGAGAAGTTTGGATAGGGTGGTGGAAGGGGTATCCTCCAATACCTAAACAAATTGCAAACCATTTAAGCCTCTATTTTGGAATACCTCGAAAGGCATCCAGGTCTGACGTTGATGCCCCCTGGAAACAGTCTAAATGGCCCACCGAAGAGGAAGCTCGGCCTTTTCCCTTCTGTGACACTGCAGGCCACCCCTTCGACTATTCTGCCACGAGGATTCCCTTGGAATTAGCAAGTTCCCCGAACCTCCATTTTCTGTGATTGGAGGCATTCACAGAAAGGGTTTTGATTGCGGATTGGTTTCCATTTGAATTACTGACCAAAACAAAGGTCTCGCTTCCTGCCCGATGCAGTGAAGAGGCATCAAGCAACCGGCAACTAAGATGCCAGCTGCCCCCGCACCCCCCGTCCCCCCTCCTCTTGGATGGTTGAAGATCCGTTTTCCACAACAAATGTAAACCCTTCTGGAGGGAGATGTGTTGTGCTGAGAGGCAACGTTGTCACACCAAGACAGGCTCACTCGCAGAGGTACACTGATAACCCATGTGTGGAGGGGGCCAGTCTACATTTAAACATCTGTCATAGGCCTCGCTCAGTTTGGACAAGATCCAAGATCTCTCTTTTGGTCGGTTTCCCAAACAAAGCTTCGCGGTCAGCGCTCGTCGGTGCTTCTGCTCGAAGGCGCCCAGGCTTTCCTCTCTTGAATGGTGCGCTCGGGGGATCTTTGACTTCCCATCGCTGTAGCAAGAATTTCTGCAATGTCACAGGCCCCCAGCTCAACGGGGTTTCCAGCACAGCCCGAAGATGCAAAGTCCAGCCTGTGTTCGGATGGTCATTTGGTCATGCCAAAAGGATGGAGTGATTGTTTGCAGAGTGCACGGAGAATGCCACCCCACAATAGAAATCCCGAATTGCTGTTTTCGGGCAAAGGATGATGGTGAACTCTTGCCCTTGAAACGCCACGACGAAATCGGGTCCAGCACATCCCAAACGCGCCTTTAGCAGGGATTTGCCAGCATGTGGGTCATATCAACGGTAAAAGTAAACATGGTCTGCACTGCTTCTTGGCATTTTCTCTTAGAGTCCAGACGTCTCCCTGCAAATGGGTGTGTCTTAGACAGGGGATCCCCATAAATGCGTGGTAAAACCACCCCACAACGGGAGCCATCGCATAAAGACAAACTCATCGGAGACCAGACACATCAGCAAACATGCGGACGCAATCCAGAGTACCTGGGTGTCCAAGAGCGTTTCGAACAACCCTTGCGAAATCAATAGCGATTCAGGGATTGGCTGATTCTGCTCGGAGCCACCAAGAGTCTGGTTCAAAGTTGCACTGGTCCCGTTTTCTTCTTAGAGGAAACAAGGGGGTCGGCTCCCCCAAAACAATATATATATATATAACTTGTATAATTGTTCTCTGGAGGGTTGTGGAGGTCGACCCCTTCATTTGAGTTCCACTCCGGCTCCCACCAAAACAGCGGTGGGTCGCCCCGCCGTTGCCAGCACCGGCGCTGTATCCGCTGTCGGGCTGGTGGGGCCACCGCTGCCCGGGCCGCTGTCGCCCTGCGAGGCACCCGAAGATCGCAAAGCGCAAGTTCGCAGACAGAATAAAAACAGACAATGCCCTTGAGTGAGTCTTCCCCGCTCAAACATCTAGCCAGAAGGTTCAGCAGAAAGTATCATTCCCAAAAAGTCTACGGGGCTCAAGTCTGGAACAAAACGTGAAACTGGCCTTTTGATTTCCCATGCAGCCTGACCCAAAAGTGTTGTACACGAAGCCAATTTGTGGACGTCCCGGAAGGTCTGCAAATCTGCAAAACGTAGCATGGAACCAGTTCAAGGATCCTGTTGGACAATTTGGGGCTGTCTCTAAAACGCTAGGCCTGCCGATCTATTTGCTTGCAGGATCCACAGGAGGTTTTCCACTCCCCCGTTCATACCGACGTTGGTGGATGCAACTGGATCCTCTGAATTGCTTGGTTTCAAGGCAAAGGTAGGCTGCCCCAACCCGACCCAGGCGGGTTTGAGTTGCTGTGAGTTGGCTCAAGTTGATTTGGCATGGTTTGGGTAGGTTTGAGTATGCCTTGGCTTAGACGGCCATGTTCAAACGGCCGAAACGGCGCTTGGGCGTTTGTTTGAGAAGATCTAGCGAGCGCAATTGCCAGGAAATCCTGCTCCAATTGGCAGGCCGTAGGTTTGGCATGCGGCCTGGACACGCTCCGTCAGCCATGGCCAATATAGCTTGACAAGAGGCTTCACAACATGTGTGGAATGTGTCGAAAACAAGCTGGCTATACACGAGGCAACACATTGATGTTGGCTGCTCCTTTGACACGTCCCAAAAGGTCCCTAGGTGCGCCACACAGCCATGTATTGACACCTGCGGAGTCAAACTTGATCTCAGGTAGTTGGACCACCGCCTAGAGCTGCCCGTGGGACGAACTCCGTTTTTTGGCGTTTTTTGTGCTCGAACCTGTTCTCCGAGGGTGGGGGGGGGGGGTGAGGCCCACTGCCGGGGTGCCTATCCCAGAAGGGAACTGGTACCCTGTCATAGTAGAGGTCGTTGATTTGGTTCCTGGATCTATTCTGGAGAGAGTCCAATATGCCAATATGGAGGATTGGAGGATGGATTGTCCCTGGTGGCTTGTGTTGACTGTGAATCCTGTAAAGCGGTCTGCAAGCCTTTTTATCACTGTACCATGTGTCGAATGACTGTACAAATGACTTGAAGGGCCTTGAGCCAAACATGTCAGCGGAGTTTGTGAATAGGTCAATGGGTGTAACCAAAAGCAACACAAAACAGACACAAATTTCTTTTGGCCTTTCACACCGAAAGTGTATAATTCGCTTCTTGGCCGTAGCCATACTTGAAAGTGTCGGCCGTAGCCATATGTTGTTACAATGATTCATCCAATTTTGGCGCGGATGATTTGTCATGTGAGCAAAATGGAAAACAGTCTGTACTGATTCTGTGAGATACCTAGATGTATCGAAAGGTGATGCGCAGCGCTATGTACATGCGGGACGAATGTGAAACTATTGATCTCTCACTGAATAGTCTTGTTGGCGGTGAGGATCAATCTGGTTGTAGTTCGTAGTGCTGATCGTGTGAGTCTTCTCGGTGGGTCGAATGAGTGCCAAAGGTAGCTGCTTCATCAAGTGACCAGCGGTACCACCGACGGCTGCTGTCGGATTGACTGCCATAGTCTCCATAATCATTCCAGGTCGAGTCGCCATAGTCCTTCCATTGCTTTGGATTGCCCCAGTGCTGCTTGTTGTAGTCTTTGTACTCTTGCTGAGTCCAGGATTGCTTCTTCTTGAGGTGCTCCGTGGATCTCTCAAAGTTGCGTTGCCTGGCGGCAGATCTGCTGCGGATGTATACCATCAGCGGACTGTGCGAGTCGGAATCTTGTGAGCCATTCATGAACATATCGTTGTTCACGTGCTTGAAGCGTTCCGCGGATGAGACCTGATAGTCGGAAATGGCAGACGTTGGATCGTCCGCATGACTTCCAGTTGTTCATCTCTCATGGCGTTCATCTCTTCCTTCCGGAAAACCTGCTGGATATTCGTTTTGCCCCATCCAAACACGAATGTCATCATCACATCTAGAAATGTTCGGTCATACCCTGATCCAGTCTTCATGTATAAGTGATGACGAACAATGGATTTTATGGTGCATGAAGTCTCCATTGCATACTCCATTCTGTCCACGAGTGGCAGATTCTCCGTCTCATTCCACAATCTCTGATATGCCTTCATGAGGATATTCATGAGACCATTGGCCGGATTGAAGACGTGCTGGAGTCTGCTGTAGGTATTCGCGGATTTGTTGGCGTCTCCAGTGATCGCATCACATTGGTACAATGCCACGAGTGGCAGGATTTCGTTCTGAAAATCTTCCCGTGCTGCTCCAAGGCTGATTGCGGGATGAATGTGGAAAACTCCAATGGTAGCAAACGGGAGGTCTGCCCTCGTTACATGGCGGCTGTCAAACTCGAGGAGTGATTTGTTGGATGATTTTGGGAGCATACCACGATACTCATCACTCTGCTTGATGTGGAGAACGACAATCTCTTTGTTACGTCCGTGTCCTTGGACAGTGGTGCGTGTTCGCAATCTCGGTCCGATGTACTTCTTGGACTCAGTAAACATGGATGGTCCCGTAGTTGCCAAGCAGTCCGAGGTCGGAATGTCATATTCAGGATCAGTGCAATTTTCCTCGGTTCCGAAGAAACCCAATTCTGACTCTTTGTGGAAATGTGTCTTGCCAATAGTTCCACTCTTGCGGAAGGTCCGCCGCGGACAAAGCATGCAATTGGTCTGGATGACCATTGCTTGATAACGATGCCCTTGTACCCGAATCGGATGAACGTCTTGATGAGTTCTCTGGAATTATCACCTTAAGTTTCTGGATGAACTCGTCTAGGTTCTCGGAATTGCGATACTCCATGGTGACCTTTGGTTTGACGGATCTCTCCCCGGAGGGTTCCCTGTTCTCCTCTTCAACTTCGTCCTGATCGGTGGAGTGCCGTCGCTTCTTCGTCTCTGAGGAAGTATCTTTTTCCTTGCCGTGCTTGTCGGAATTTACATGGCTGAAGAAAGCATCGGCGAATTCACGGATCTTGGGAGAATCGGATGCCATAGTCCTGGTCCTTGAGGAATGCAAGGATCAACAGTGCATCTCTTCCTGCTGGCACATGTGTGAGTGCTGCTTCTCACTCGTCGTCGTCGAGGATAACGTCGTCGATGCATGCCATGTGGACGTGCATTCTCCCCGAAGGGTTTGGCTGGGATTTCCCCGATCTGAGCCCGTTCTCTATGATGCTGATAAGTTGATTTCCATAGGTTGCATGGAACATGAAAGTGATGGGCTTCTTCGCGAACGGCTTGATCTTTCTTTCTTCTTCAATGGATGGTGGTGCCGGCCTTCGCATTCTGTATTTTGCCTGAGCTGTGCCTTCGTCTTCATGGGGCGCATCTGATCTTGACGGATGCGGACTTGGAGGAATGGATTCCGTTGGAAGGTCAGAGTCCGGTTCTTCCTGGCGAGGCTCACTCTGCTGCTCGGAGTACAGGGGTCGTCCAAAAGATTGGAGATCGACTTGTCGTGTATGACCGCTGTTGCATCTCACGTAGAACTCCATGTCGGGATCATTGAGGAATTCCATGCCATTAGGCCGGAGTGCATCGTGTGCGGATCTGGTGGTGAGTTTGTCGATCCATCGGTTTCTTGGAACAATTTCTCCCCTTGCCTTGCGCTCCTTGTATGGCCCGTCCACGGATGGATACACGAACGAAATCTCGAAACGTGACTTTCCATGGTTCGGGAACATAGCCATCAAGAGAAGTCCTGGCTTGTTTCCAATGAAATTTGCTGGCATGTGTAATGCAGGTCAATGCATCGTAGAGCTCAACGGATCCATCAGAACCCATGTCCACTTGTCGTTTGCATTCTTTATGGATGCCATGCCTTGGATCATGTCGAAGACATCCGGAAAACAATCTGCTCATTCTCTCGATTCGCCAGAGGATGAGGTCGGTGATCTGTTTTGCCTTGGATGGATCCATGTTGAAGTACTTGCAAACCTGTTCAACATTCTGGACGGTCTTCTCGAGATCAATGTAGCTGTTGTGACATACCATCGGAATGATGTCGGTTCCGTAAACTTCTGGCTGAGCATTGGTGTAGCAGCAAATGCTGTAGACCTTCTTGATGAAGTCCATGTATTGTTTCTCTGCGTGAGGCCCTTCACCTTGAAGCGTTGGCCGCCAATAGTCATTGAATCTGGCCTTCAGCCAAAATACCTTGACTCCATGCGGTCGTTCATGCTCAGGAATGAAGTGGAAATCCGGATTCATTTCGAGGATGGTTGAGCACTCCTTGTAGTATTCGTACACGAAATTGAGGAATTTAGAATTCCCGAAAGGTCCTGGGTGTACGGATTCCCTGTGGAGGCTGATGTCGTTTTCTGATCCATCTGGCACATACCACCGATCGTTGGATGTGAGAGTTGGCCGCATCGCTGGTCGCCTTGGAAGTGCAGGTCGGTCACCAGAATGGTTGTCGGATTCCGTCTCTTCATCCAGGATGTTCTTTGGTGCTGGCTTGACCTTTGAGACAAGCCTCAGTGCTGGTGGCGGTGACTTTGGAACCAGTTTTGGATGTGGCATCGCCTTCGACGTCGGCCTTCCTGCAAAAGGATGCTCTTCTTCATCCGAATCATCGTCGTCGTCGGAATCTGGATCATAATCAACCTGCTCCATGTTGACATTCTCGGGTTGTTGAGAGGCGGATGGATTCTCATCAGCGACTTGCTCCATGCAGCAGTCGGACGTCTCATCTTCCTCATCACGAGCAGGGGATTCCTTCAACGGAGATGCCCGTCTCTTCACCAGCGGCTTCGGCAAAGGAGCCGTGTTGTTGGATCGTCCAAAGATCATGTTGAGAATCGGCATGTCTTCGAAGTGATCGAGCATACAAGATCGCAAAGGTCGGAATGGTTGTAATCCGAAAGTGGCTGCGGATGCAGACACATATTTCTTGAGTGAGATTCAACATG